CCAGGACAGGAACAAAACCCAAACTGGGAGGCTGGCTCAGAACACTGGGGACAACAGAGAGACGTGAGTCCAGCGGGACGCGGAGATGCCAGTGGGGGCCAGACCGCTGTGGGGGGAACCACAACCTATGAGAAGCGTAGTAGAGCAGAATAAAAACAATAACTATAAAAAAGGATTCAGACGAAGATCTGAGACTCAAGGGCTGGAGTCACCAAAAAAGCAAACACTCTGGTGCATTCTTTAATGCATTCTTTAAGGTAATTTTCTTTAATGTGTTGTAGGGTATAATGCGCATTTAATGTTATTAATATGAATAATACGCATTTAATGTTATTAATATGAAATCCAAAATTTTGAGAGTTTATTTACAGATCGTGCCTCGATTAGTTTTGTCTGTTTACTGATCGTGTCTGATCGTGTCTCGATTGGTCTCGTCTGACTCGGGGTAGTGGAACGCGTTACTTCTGTTCCTCCATTACAACACTGGAAGTGAAAGACGTAACGTCGTGTCCGTGTCTGTTTCCCGTGTCTGTGTTCACCATTCCCTTATACAGGGTCAACAAATGCAGGTTGAATTCTTTCATGCAACCTGCATTCTTTGATGCAGGTTGCTGGCAGAGGCCTGCACAAATAGAAATAAAAATGCTCTTTAACATGCAGCCCTTCCATTCACAGGAGTCAGAATTTCCCCAGCAGATGGAGAAACCCTGTGACTAACTAATAACAATATCTGCCCTAACATTTATATAAAATGTTCTTGACTTGTCAGGAAGAACTCCTCTGTATGTAGTAAAACAAATAAACATTCACAGCTGCATGTACTAACAATTAAGTACTAACATATTTCATAAAACATAGTTTTATGAAATATGTTCAATTTTATAAAACACAAGCTTAACCAAAAGCAAAGAAAGTTTCCTACCTCTTCTCAGGCAGTCTTGCGCCAACTGAAGGTCGTACAGAACTGATGTCATAAGATGCTCTTTTAAGGTGACAGTACAGATACTAGTGCTTATCAAAATAAGTAAAATAATACAATTCTTAAAATATAACAAAAAATTCAATTCTCAGTATTAATCAGGATTTAGTGAAATTTAAAACATTATAATAATAAAAAATAAAAGCACATCTTCTAAAGTTGTTACTCTAGATAATGTTGAACATTGAGAAGTTTTAATTATTATTAAACATTATCAAACACGGCATTATGAAGCTAAAAATACCTCTCAAATATACAGAGACAACAATGAGAATCAACTCATTTAAAGTTTAAACTCAGTTTCACACAAACACGAAGACGTTAGCAGAAATGTTTGGCCTGTTGAACTGGACCGGTCCAGGTCGCTATCAAGGGAATTTTACAAATCTTTTACATTTCATTACATTACCAAGACACATTAAAACAAATCTTTATATTACATTTTTTTCCTATTCTACATCTTTCTTTTCTCCTCCCTGAAGGATAAATCCTTCATGTTACGGACGAAGTGTGCGGTACCTACCGCGGCCACTAGGGGCCCCAAGAGCGATTCATATTTTGTTTCCTTTTATCAATAAAATAATTTCTACATACATTATCAAATATATATTATTGTAAAAACAAATCACTTTCTTTACAGGTGGTGACAGACAATCTTTATTCACTGTTGAAAAGTTTGATTGTTTCCAAAACTGAGATCAAATCTGGTAACATGAGTTTTTTGCCAAACTGATGATCAATTCATTAAAATGCACAAATCTGTTCTCTGTCTGGTTTCTGGTTTTAACAGCAGAAATTAATGGTGCATTCCCAAACTTCATCAGTCCAAGGCCAAACAGATGTTTGACTGAGCTCCATTGAATATGTTTAATATGAGTTACTGCACCTTTATTGCACCTTAACAACAATATAATACATTGTTTCCAAACTAAAGAGACAAGTTAGTAAACGGTGTTTTAGTGGAATAAGAAACAAAAAATGTCATTATATTGAAAAGGATGAAATCAGAACTCCTTTAAAGATGTTTAGTTTAACATTATTTAAAATATATTAAAAATATTCTAACGTATAATTCTTCAAGTATTGCTTACTCATCTGCTTTGGACTCTGCTGGTTAATCGGTTACTGTTGTCATGAGGCAACACAGAGAGACAAGCAACAGCAGGGTGGGGCAGGTATGCATCAGTTTTACAACTGAAGTTGCTGTAACTTTGCAACAATCTCTGCCTCATCTGGAGCTTCTCAAGTCCAGGCCTCAGGCTGTTAATTGCCTGTGCCTTCTGCCACACCCAGGATTTGTACCTGGGGAAACGCTATCACACCTACAAGCAGGGTGCAGGGTGGGGCAGGCTGACAGAACAGAACAAAAGTACAAGGAAACAATGAGGGGAAGCCATGTTGATGTCATTTCTTTGGAATGACAAGATCAGCAGAGCTGATTAAAGTCACACCTGTGGATGAATTTGAAGCTCTCACTTTGTTCAGAGTCTGATCTCAATGTGGCCGTCCCGACTTCAAATCCCATTCCTTGTATTTTCCTCCCATTTCTTTTTCATGTCAAATAAAGACCAGTTGTGGCAAAAAAATATTTTAAAAAGCCACAACAGGTCGATGGATGTTTGAATAAAACCCTAAAACTTTTCTCATTGCAAAAGGGGAATTTTCCTTTCAAAGAACAACAAATTTAAAATTAACATTTTAAAATCATGTTTGAAACAAAATTTCTTCTTTTATCCCTTCCTGAACATAAAAACTGAAAGGCTTGGCTTTGGACAATAGAACATTTTCTTGAGCATTCTTTGAAAAGTGTTCATTTCAACTCTTAAAGTTAATTATATTGATTCATCTTGATTATTCAAAACGCTAGAGTGATTAATTTGATTACATTTTTAAATCAATTATTGAAAACAAACTGTTGATTTTTATCTGTCACATCATCCAAGCAAAACATCACAGTAATCAGTCGATCAGGTGCAGAACCTGGAATAAACGTCTTCAATTTATTTTGTGGTTTCTGTCATTTATGTGATTCTGGAGATCAAGACTTGAACTATCTTGGATTTTAAGAGATTAAAGAAAATAATTGTTTAATTATTGTTTATTAACCTGTACGATCTTCTTTAAATGTGAACTAAATCAAATAGTTCACAATTGATCAATTTAAATCAACTAAATAAATGAATGAATGCTGAGGTGTACAGACACAAAAAGCAAACTCTTCAGTTCAGACACAACTGATGCAGTCGAAGGTTAATCAGCCTGTAAGACATTTATTTTATTTTATTTCTTGGCGCCATCTAGCGGCTGGGAAGATGAACAACATACATGGAAACAAATCATCCACCTGACACTGTAGACTAAACTGAACTCTCTTACTGTAACATGTTTGGTTCAAAACTATTTCAGTGGAAACTGGAAGGTTTAACACAATTTCCACTAATCAGTCCTTAACTCAACGATCAGTTTTCAAAATAATTTTTAATCATAACAGATTAAACACAGAGATGTCACTCCATGTGAATGATAATAAATATATACAGTCATCAAACAAAAGTTTCCTCAGTTCAGTTGTGCAGATTTCTTTTCACTAACTCAATATTATAAAAATAAAATCTAATATTCCTGAAATAGAGATGTGACTGTTAACCAGAAGAAGAAGAAAACTATTTCAGTAAATTTCCAAATTTCACTCAACCAGGTTTAATCTTCGAGAATCATAACAGATTAAAATACCAGCATAAAAGGGATCAATGATAATCTCTGACCTTCCAGTGCCTCATTTGGAGTCTTGTGTAAAATTTGAGTCATTTATCGACGATCCCAAAGCGCCAGCAGCAAGTTGCTGCTCCTGGTACTTTGTTCATTTTTCATTATTACTCAAACAAACAACAACAAAATGTCTTTCCTATTGGAGAAGTCCCAACTTTTATAGCAGATTCTCATTCTCTGTGCAAAATCTCTCCTTAAAACTCTCAGCATGCAGATTGTCTCAATAAATGATGTAAAATCTGTTTCCATCGTTGATTCTGGTTCAGCTGAATCAATGAACATTTGAGTCAAATGAGAAACACAGACTGAATTTTTTAATAGCACAGGCTGTAAAATATATCTGACTTCATAACATTTTTTATCTTTATTGTTATTTTTATCATAGTCTCTCCTGTTTTGATTGTCATAGAGCTAACCTTCCGAGGTTACCTGAACGCATCATTCAGGAAACAGCTCCATCCTGGTTGCTCTCTTGTGCCTGAAGGTCCAAGACAATAATTAAAACAAACTCTTAGAGTTTAGAGTTCAAAATAAAAGAAACATAATAGATCAAAACAAGCTAATAAATAAATCAAATACATGAATCCAGACAAACGTGGAATAATTAATAAGGTCCTGAAAGTTGCTTGGGGCAGATCTATTGCTGTAAATTCATTTATAACATTAAAAATTATCTGCATTATTAGTAAAACTGAACAGTAAACAGACAAGAGCCACAAAGGCACAGATAACACACAATGTCATTTTACAGATTTTAAAATTCATATGATTCTGTTGTAAATTATAAGAAAATCAGATTTCCCAATGGGACTGTGTGAATCCTGACTGCAAGTTGATCCCTACAGAAGTTAAGAAATGTGAATAAAACTGTTGAATTAAAACTGATATGTAGCCTAAAAGAATATTCATTAGGATCATTAGGTTTCTATGTGCTGTGAGTCAAATGCTTTACAAAACTACAAGGTCTGTGAGGAAAACATTTTAATGGTTTTGATTTATAATAACAGCGTTGAAAAAACAGCTTTCAATCCTGGGCTTTTACTGCTGTCTGCTAACGGGAAATGCACACCAATGAAATCGAGGAAAGGTTTTGGTGACTCCTCTTCCTCAGCCTATCCCCCAGAACCTCAGCCTATGGGGCAGAACTCCAGCCTATGGGGCAGAACTCCAGCCTATGGGGCAGAACTCCAGCCTATGGGGCAGAACTCCAGCCGGGGTTCTACCCTATAGGCTGATTTCACTGTTTGTAGCTGAGAGAGTGACGTGAACAGCTGAGTGAAACTGACACCCCACAAATCCACAAACATCCTGAGTGTTGGTGCTCCGTCACTGCAGGTTGGTGCTGTTAGAAATTTTCCTTTTGACTGATTTTGTTTCTGAAATATTAAATATTCAGTTTCAGGTCATTCAGAGGTCACCGACCCCCATCTTGCTCCAAAACAAACCAAAGTGGGTCACTTCCTTAGAGATCCGTTTGTGGAGGTTTGTAGAGCAGCTTTCACTTTTAGAGATAATAAAGTAATAACTATTTTACCATATCATGTTACAATGGCAAAAACATAAATTTGTGAGTCTGTCAGAAATAAATTTATATAATTTAGAATGACAACTTAATGTAAAATATTAATGTTGATATTTTATCAATAACTCTCATGTTACACATTTTTCTACTCAACCAATTCATTCATGTCCATTTCTGCTCATCCTGCTGTCTATTATGGGATGTTTTCTGTCTATCTTAAGCCTTCTTTGAAATGTTTAATCACAGCTTTGATGAGTTAAAGTTCTACATTGTTCTTATAGTCTGTTGTTGAAAGGAGCTTGCACTTAAATAATTTTTTTTTGTCAGACAAAAGATGCTGAAAGTCTCGTCATCACATTTTTATTTAACCAACTGATTCGTCTCCTTAGTTTAGAAAAATGATTTAATCTTCTAGTCACAATCTGGAAGGTCTTGGTTTATTTCTGTGTTTCGATCGATCAGATATTTGTTGATGGTCCCTAACCAGAGAATCACACAAACATTAAAGCAGCAGAAGCTTCAATGCTGGAGGAATTATTATGAACAAAGCGAAACTGTTTCTGGAGACAGACTCTGTGTTAAATCCTATAGTTCTCCACCAGAGGGCGCTGTGAGGTTAAAGCTCTCAGCAGTTTTCCTGTAGAAACAGAGATTCCTCTCTGGAAGATCATATTGAGTTGATGTTGGAAGATCAGCATGAAAAAAGAAGAAGAAGCTGAATAAGTTTTAAAAGTCTGAGATTAATAGAAATTATGGAGAGAGAGATTTGACCAGATTATGGAGAGATCAGAAATACTGAAAGCAAGAAGGAACTAAGTTGGTTTAAATAGCCATTGATATGAAAAACAGCCTTTAATCTGTGAAAGTGAGATTAAAACTTTAGGTTATGGATAAAAATAAATCCCATGTGATGTTTGAAAGTAGAAGAATAATTCCTGCAGAAAGACTCAGATTAATCCAGGATCAGAAAGATGATTTCTACTTTCCAGATCTGTGAAACTGAAACATTTTCTATTGACTGAAACTAATCAATCCTCCTCTTCACAGCTTCAACTTCATTTTCTTTGTGGTTCAACTGCATTATTATGATTTTGTTTAAAAGATGTGTTATTTTTTATTTGTAAGTCGTTTGTAAGTATTTTGAGCAAAGTGCCCAGTCAGCACAAAATGGTAAATGAATTATAGTCAGAATGGTTGATTATTGGATGGCTGAACATCTGATGGTGGATCAATAAAGCCTGATCAATTTTGAATCAAAGTATGTTGTTTGTTGCTCTCCTACCTCACTATATGTTTACAGATCCATTTCTGTTTTCTTAGATAAAATGTTATATTAATGCCATGTTGTCATTTTTAACCTGTTGGACACACATTTTTGTAAATAAGTTAATGTAACATCATTTTGAATGTTTGCCAAGATCTGCCAATAAAACTGTGTTTAACACCATGAAAAACTTTTACTGGTATGTTATGATGTAAACATGTCAGACCAAAAGATTTACATGAATCAACAGATTCAATATAAAATCAATACAAATATGCATGTAGATCCACAGTAAGATGACGGTTGAATCAACATTAATATAGTCAGTTATGGTTGAAACTTTAATGTTGATTCAACATGTAAGTCAATCAGCACTTTAATTTCATTTCAATGTCAGACTTTAACATGGATTCAATGTTTCTGCCTGACTTTGTTTCAATGTTGTTTCACTCATGTTGTGATTTATGACATTTAATTTAATTTTAGAAAAACACTCAACAAGGATTTTATACACTGATATTCTTATCTCATGAATTATAACAGAACAATTTCACTCCTTATTTTTCTTTTCCTAACCAGGAATCCAGTTGTTCCTCATATTGTTAGTGATGATGATCCTGATGTCCTGCTGCCTCTCCTCCTCTTCCTCTCTCAGGATGAAGATGATGTCCAGCATCCTGCTGCTCCTCATCCTCAGCTCATGTCTCTGTGGTCAGTCTCCATCTTGTCTTTGTGACAGAAAGCTCTCTAGATGGAGCTGAAAGACTCCCATGTTCCAGTTCTCAGTGTGTCTGCTCCTCTTTCCCTCTCTGTCTCCTCAGCAGCAACATTTGTAGTGAATGTGACACAGAGCAGCTATCAGGCAGGAGAAGCAGAACATCACTCTGGAGTGGACCTTCACCACCAAGACTCAGGGAACCTGGAAGAATCTGTTCATCTACTGTGAAGTGAACACGGATCATGGAGTCTTTGTTCTCTATCATATTCATGAAGGAGTTGAGATTCCAGAGTCTCAGGATGATCAGTTTTCAGGACGAGTCCAGAGCGACAAAGACGTCCTCAGAGAAGGACGAATCAGACTCCATGTGTCCAGACTGAGGACTGAAGACTCTGGTCTGTATCAGTGTGGAGTGAAAACTGAAGATGGATTCAACTCTGGAAGATGTCGACTCAACGTTTCTGGTGAGAAGAAATATTTTGAGTTGTTGAATTTCTTCATCTTCTCCATGAATCCTCCTGGATCTCAGTTTCCATCAAATATTAATAAATATTTCTGATTTCTCTCCCAGCAGCTGCTGATCAGATCCAAACTCAGAGACCAACTTGGACTCCAGAACCAGAGAGACGAGAATGGATGAACATCTTCATCATCATCATCACTGTGGGACTGATAGCAGCAGCAACAACAGCTCTGGTGGCTCTAATTATAAATTTGATTTTCTGCATCAGAAAAAAAAGAAAGAAAAACAAAAAAATAATCGTTCAACAAGTGTAGTCGCAAAATAAAATACCAATAAAAGTTTTGTTCACTTGAGTTTGGTTGATGATAACATTGGGATTAAACCCAAACATTTATAAAACATTAAATGAAATAACAAAACAGAAACAGTTAAAGTTTTAAATGAAATTGAACAGAGAACCAGTTCAGAGATAACTCCTCATCTTTGTCTCCAGAGCAGTTCTAACATCTTCTCATGCAATTACATATTTATTACATTGAGGAATTGCTGAGTTACAAATCATCTGCATAGATGGAGAGGCAAACAGTGAATACAGCTTTGACATTTCAGTCACAAGTCTCCACTCAAACATTGCTGCCATCCTGGATTTATGCAGCTGTTGTCTTTGAGCATAGCTTCTCATGACTCCTGAGGTTATAATAATATGTTTATTGTCTCTCTGGGCCATAAAATTTCTGGTTTTTCAGTCAAAACCAGAGTTTCTTGGGACTTGTAGTCTTTGCTCCAGTCCCCAGCAGGGTGTCAACGTTTGGCCCCAGAGTGGCCTGTGCAAATTAAAATATAAGAGAAATGAGAATATATGAAAATAAGATATTAAAAATCTAACAGATAATTTTGCCACCACAGAAACATCAGGTTAGATTTCATAAATTTAATGAGTAATTAATTGTACTAAAAACGTTATTGTTATTAAAACATTAAATCATTTCAGTCAGACGTATTGATCAGTGATTGTGTTTAAGTAATGAATCAGCTGATTGTTACTGATAAAGTGATTTAATTTAACTATTTTATGAATATGTTATGAAGACAAAACAGAATGAAACCTTTGGTTTTTATATTTCACTGTTTTCAAATGATGATTTTTATAAATTTAATACATTTAAACAATAAACTTTAAACATTAAAGTTGTTTTTAACAGATTTTCACCATCATTGTTTGTTTTAATAGAAGGTTTTATGAATATAAATGTTGAAGTTTCAGAAACTTTAATTCTTCAACATGTCCAAAGTTTTCTCAACATTTCAATTCAAAGATTCTTGAGTTTTATTTCTCATAACATGTTTTATTGTAGTTTTCTGTTGTTTTTATCAGTGATCAGAAACTGAAGCTTTTATTAAAACCTGATTATTTTTCTACCAGCTGTGTCTCCATTTTGTTCTCCTGAATGAATGAATGAATGAATGAATGAATGAATGAATGAATGAATGAATGAATGAATGGATGAATGAATGAATGAATGAATGAATCTCTGTTTGCTTGTTTCCTCTTTAATGTCTCATTATGACTCAATTTGCTCTTTATTTGGTTTTGGATCAGGAAGCAGGAGCTGCTGGTCCATCCTGAAGCTCAGCTGCTGAACTCTGACCTGAACTCTGATCCAGTGGCGGAGTTAGACTTTTTTTCAAGCGGTGGCCAAAGGGTGAGCAAGGCTTTATCAGAGGGGTCCATATACAAATGATGAACGAAAGGAAACAAATATTTTCTCACACTCAAATTAAAATGGTTTATTTAACTAAGATTTGCCAAGACCAACAAGACGTTATACGGCAATAAGGAACAGTGAACATGTAAATGTAAACTCAGAGCCCAGAATATGACCAAAAACAAATTCTCAAAAATAAATAAATAAATAAATAAATAAATAAATAAATAAATAAATAAATAAATAAATAAATAAACTGGTGCTTCTGCTGTGCAATAGGTTGTGCTGGGTGGGGGGAGTTCAGTGCCATTTCCTTCTGCTTCACTGTCTTCCTCCCCAGAGTCTGACTCTGAATCTATATCACCCTCATCTCTCTCTGGAACTTAATTGGAAATACATAAACAGACACAATAAAAAATGCAAAAAGCATCATGCTAACCTTTAGAATTAGGCTTATTGGATTTTAATACTTAATAACTCTCTGTCACAGCCTCTAACCCGCTGGTGATCCACTTGGGCCTGGAGTCTCCTGGCTGGATTGTCCAGGTTGGTCACTGCTGCAGGGTTCTGTCTGGTCCTGGTCACTGCTGCAGGGTTCTGTCTGGTCCTTGTCACTGCTGCAGGGTTCTGTCTGGTCCTGGTCTTCATTTGGGCTCTACACAAAATAAGAGCCTGGTATTTAGACTCCATGACTGTTTGGCAGAGACAGCACTATTTTAACTATTATTTAAACCGGCGGTTTTGAAAGTGTGAGGCGCGCCTCCCCTGGGGGGCGCCAGAGCACATTAGGGGAGGCGCGGTGCGAGGGAAAAAATAAACCGAAGAAGAAGCTATCCGCTTGCTGTCTACTGGTGTGAGAGAAAAAAATTGACAATTTTTTAGTAAACGTGTTCATCTCCTTCACTTCAACCTATCTCTGTGAATGTGGGTTTTCCGCTCTCGCAATGATGAAAAGCAAATCCCGGTCAAGGCTGCTGGTTGAAGATGATCTGCGGTTATACCGCTCCACAGCGCAACCCCGCATTAACCGGATTTGCGCATCAAAAACACAAGCACATTGTTCCCACTAAAACGAAGGTGAGCTGAACAGTAATGTTGCCAATGTGTTGCTACGTTGCCAATTTAGTTACAATCATAAATAAAATGAGTTACACATGATTCAGGACCGTGGTAGAAAAAGAAATGGTGCGCATAGCGTGCGTAAATGTTTTTTCTTTTGTAAGCCTCCGCTCTTCCATACTGCACGCTCTTTTAGCTCGAGATAAATTGTTTGTTTAAATTGTTTAGATGAGCCACAAAAAGAGCTCCACAATTTTGCAACTGTTTAGGTTTTTGATTTATTTTTTAAATTTCAAGGAAATGTGCAACATTTACAGATGTGTTCCAAAGATCTGATCAAAATGTTTTTGTTAAGATGTGAAAAAAACTGTTGTTATCTCAAACATTAAACTCAGAATCTCAGATGTAACGTTTGTTTGAGAAAACGGTTGAAAAATGAGTTTGGGGTTATTCTTATCATTAGAAAAATGAAAAAAGGGCGTATTAGCCATCCAAAGGCCCTGATAAAATACTTAAAATGGGAGGAAATGTTTTAAAATGTTCATGTGTTAAATTTCATTCAGATTAAGTGTCATTTTAAAAGATGAGATGTTCTAAAAAAAAAAGCAATTAGAAGGTGTTTTGTAGTGGCATGTTTGTGTGTGTGTGTGTGTGTGTGTGTGTGTGTGTGTGTGTGTGTGTGTGTGTGTGTGTGTGTGTGTGCTCCTTGGAGGGGGGGCTCACCCTTTCATACTTTGAAAACCCCTGATTTAAACTATAGTTTTTAGTTTTCTGTAGCTAGTTAAAATAATACTAAATTAAAAATGCATTAATTAATATAACTAGTGAGGTTATAATTCAAAGCTTTCATATGACATAGCCTACTTACATTTCAGTCAATATAAAACTTAATGGTTTTTCACATATTCTTACCACACATTTCCAGCAAGAGCTGGGAGATAAAACATTAGAGGGCAGCATGTCACTAAAACATATGTTAAAAGAATCTGTCTAAAACACGATCTACCAGCACTAGCATGGCTAATATAATAAACGAGGCACCAAGCAGCGGTGCACAACCTTTTTTTCTTTTTAGAAATGTATGACAAGAGCCGCCTCTCATTAGGAAGGTAATAGCGGTTACTGCTGAGCGGTAAAATGTAAATACCTGCAAAACTCCTCCACGGTGTAACTCTAAAAGTGTTTTGGATCAAGCAGGAACCACATGTCAGTTTAACCAATGAACAGCGTCGGACGTCGAGCTGCCTTCAGGGACAGTCGGAAATTACAGTTTTCCTGGCAAATCTTTGCCGATCTCATAAGTATTATATTTTAAAATTACCATTTCCAGTGGGGTGGCAGTAGGGGTGGCAAGGGCTCTGTTGGGGGTGGCAAGTGGCAACCCGGCCACCCCTCTGGCTCCGCCACTGAGTTGGTGAATTTAGTAAATGATGTGTGTCACTTTGGCAACTTTATTGATTTATATGGTAACTGTTATATTATTATCACATCACCATTATCACAACTCAAACTGAACTGTTGAGTTTGAGCTGATAAGTCATGAAAGCTATAAAGAAAAACTGTAAAGATGTTTGTAGCTTTTGTGGGTAGAAAATGTTTCACAAATTCCCGCAGGGAGACACAGAAAGGATGAGCTGGTTTCCGGTTTAAGAGTCGTTTGTCTGTGGTAAACAACATCCAAAGGTAATGCCAAGGAGGCGTGGCTTTAAGTTGCAGGAAGTATGGCAAGCCTTTTAACATAAATTCGGTTTAGTCTAACTATCTAGATCAGAGGTCGGCAACCCAACATGTTGAAAGAGCCATTTTGGACCCAAAAAACGAAAAACAAATTTGTTTGGAGCCGCAAAAAAGTAAAAGCCGTATATAAGGGTCATAATGAAGGCAAAACATGCTCTAAGTGTTTATATTAGCATATCAAAATGACTAAGTGTATACATAATTAGTATTCATGATTAAATGTTTATTTTTCCTGCAGTGCGTCCTGGAAGGAATAACGCACCACGTGACTCTTCTGTTATACGATGGTGCTTTATGTTAACCTTCTGTTACAATATAAATGCATTTACAAAATTAAAGAAGCGCAATAAAGAAATCAGATTTTTGATATTATTTTTATTATGAAGAGCGACAGGTAAAGTGTTATTTTTTTCCCGTTTTGGACCACGGAAAATCTGACCCCCAAATGCAGTTTGCATAACGACGATCGCTCTTTGTGAATAATCACCGTTAAGTGTGTGATCAAAAAAAAAAAAACAACAAACGGAGTGTAATAAAACGGCAGCCTTTTGAAAACGTAAAGTATATAAAATTAAGCGTTTAAGTTCAATTTCTGTGCAAATGCCAAGCAAGTCAGTGCAACAGTAACACAAAGCAGCCATGAGCAACCCGACCTGAGCAACGACACAAAATAATATCGCTAAGTGTCATATGGATGAAAATTACTCTTTTAGATATTTGACAACTTATCGCTGCAGAGCAAACATTCAGGCAATTCTTCCACTCTGACAACGAATGCAGAGGATTCGGCCCAAGAATTGTAAAATTTTATGTTTCTTCTACACATTTTTATAGCATTGGAAAACATTAAGAATGATTGTGTCGTGTTTGTCCTCCTACAGAAACCATATTAAAACAAAAGATATATTTCCCAGCCCCATCTTTTCCCATTTTCAAACATTTTTGATGAAGCTCCAAAGAGCCACTAGGGCGGCGCTAAAGAGCCGCATGCGGCTCCGGAGCCGCGGGTTGCCGACCCCCGATCTAGATATTTAAAAATGCTTTTTGACAAGACAAAACTACACTTTTACTATCCCGAATGGTAATTTAAAATTTCTGTAATCATAGATACGAAAAATGATGTTTAAAAATGCACAACGTTCATATTGAAAATGCTTTAACAATAACAGTTTTAGCTTTTCAAAGCTGTTTTTAAGTGCATTCGGTTTGTAGGAAATGAATAAAGAGGATTTTTTTTTAGTCTTATAGTTTATGAAGTTTTGTGTTCCCCGCATTTCCAACATAGCCGAGCTCTTTCTGCGTTTTGGCTTTTACGGACAATTGTCAGGTTCTGTTTTTCTGTGTTTTATTCTGTTTCTGTGTCCTGAGTCTCCTCGTTGTCCTGTCTTCCCCTTGATTGTTCCCAGGTGTGTCTTGTTCTCCTGATTACCCTCAGTGTATTTAGTCCCTCCTGTGTCCTTTTGTTCCTGGTCGGGTCCTTGTCATCGTTTGTCGTTGTCAGATTGTCAGATTGTCGTTGTTGTTTTTTGTGCCGCCCTTAAGACCAGTTGCTACCGGTGTGAGCCCTGGCTTCTGCTCAGCCGTGCTGCCTGGCCGCGGACTACTGTTTGGACTGTTTTTGTGGATTTTTTGTTTAAATTACACCACCGTTCACTTACCTGGGTCTCCAGCGTCTGCCTCACCACCTCCATCACCTCACTTTATGACAGAAGGACCCGACCAAGAATACGGTGAGGCTCGCTGTTTAAACATCATGGACCCAGAGGGTGTAGAGGAGCTGCTCCGAACGATCCAGGAGTATGAGGATTCAAAGAGCACGTCCACGTTCGCCCTCAGACGTCTAGGGTTCGCCATACGCCTGGGTATGTTGCTGGACTACTGGGTTCCACGTCTCCAGCACCCCGCGCTGGTGGAGCTGCAGCGGGAGGCAGAGGAGATACGCCAGACAGCCTTCGCGGCCTGGGATGCTAAACCTGCCTCCCAGGCCAGACATCCGCTCCGCCAGCCCAGCCCCAGCTCCAGCCTCTGCTCCTCGTCCTGCTCCGCCGGACCCGCTCCGGTTGCCGTTCCTTCCGCCGGACCCCGCTCCGGCTGCCGTTCCTGCTCCGCCGGACCCCGCTCCGGCTGCCGTTCCTGCTCCGCCGGATTCCGCTCCGGCTGCCGTTCCTGCTCCGCCGGATTCCGCTCCGGCTGCCGTTCCTGCTCCGCCGGATTCCGCTCCGGCTGCCGTTCCTGCTCCGCCGGATTCCGCTCCGGCTGCCGTTCCTGCTCCGCCGGATTCCGCTCCGGCTGCCGTTCCTGCTCCGAAGGATTCCGCTCCGGCTGCCGTTCCTGCTCCGCCGGATTCCGCTCCGGCCTCCGTGGACTCTGCTCCGCCGGATTCCGCTCCGGCCTCCGTGGACTCTGCTCCGCCGGATTCCGCTCCGGCTCCTGCTCCTGCTCCGCCGGATTCCGCTCCGGCTCCTGCTCCTGCTCCGCCGGATTCCGCTCCGGCTCCTGCTCCTGCTCCGCCGGATTCCGGCTTCCCCTGCTCCGCCGGATTCCGCTCCGGCTCCTGCTCCTGCTCCGCCGGATTCCGCTCCGGCCTCCGTGGACTTGCTCCTTCCGAGATCCCTAGTGCTCCTCCCGAGATCCCTAGTGCTCCTCCCGAGATCCCTAGTGCTCCTCCCGAGATCCCTAGTGCTCCTCCCGAGATCCCTAGTGCTCCTCCCGAGATCCCTAGTGCTCCTCCCGTGTCCCCTAGTGCTCCTCCCGTGTCCCCTAGTGCTCCTCCAGTGTCCCCTAGTGCTCCTCCAGTGTCCCCTAGTGCTCCTCCAGTGTCCCCTAGTGCTCCTCCAGTGTCCCCTAGTGCTCCTCCCGAGTCCCCTAGTGCTCCTCCCGAGTCCCTAGTGCTCCTCCCGATTCCCTAGTGCTCCTCCCGAGTCCCCTAGTGCTCCTTGGCGCCGAGGACGCCCTCCGGACCTCCCCCGTGGGGTCTGCCGCGGGCGCCGAGGACGCCCTCCGGACCTCCCCCGTGGGGTCTGCCGCGGGCGCCGAGGACGCCCACCGGACCCCCCTCGACGCCTCTGCCCTCTTTCTGTTTAGTTTTGGACTCTTGGCCCCTCCTTGTGTTTCCGCCCACCTTTTGTGGGTAGTTTTTTGTTTTCTGGACTCTGGCCCTCCTTCCGTCGCCCCTCCGCCCACCCTGGTTTTTGGGTTTTGGATTTTGTTTTTGGGCGTCTGGTAGCCGCCCTTTAAGGGGGGGGTACTGTCAGGTTCGGTGTTTTTCTGTGTTTTATTCTGTTTCTGTGTCCTGAGTCTCCTCGTTGTCCCGTCTTCCCCTTGATTGTTCCCAGGTGTGTCTTGTTCTCCTGATTACCTCAGTGTATTTAGTCCCTCCTGTGTCCTTTGTTCCTGGTCGGGTCCTTGTCATCGTTTGTCGTTGTCAGATTGTCAGATTGTCGTTGTTGTTTTTTGTGCCGCCCTTAAGACCAGTTGCTACCGGTGTGAGCCCTGGCTTCTGCTCAGCCGTGCTGCCTGGCCGCGGACTACTGTTTGGACTGTTTTTGTGGATTTTTTGTTATTAAATTACACCACCGTTCACTTACCTGGGTCTCCAGCGTCTGCCTCACCACCTCCATCACCTCACTTATGACAACAATTTTGTGCAGAAAACGTAAAATTCTGCAGCACAAAGGGGCTTCAACGTCATTCTTAATTCAGATATCTAAAATTGTAATTTTGACTGGTAATAATTCAGTTCAAGATATCTTAAATTGTAATAACAGATGTGTCCCATCAAATGACGGATCCAGTGACGTAATTTGAGACATCTTGAAAGGAATTTTGACTCGTCAGAATGTAATTGAAGATATCTTGAATTATTATTCTTGCTAGTCAGAATGTAAATGAAGATATCTTGAATTACCATTCCGAATAGTCGAAATGTAGATTTATATTTCTAGAATGTCAGGCGAAATCGAGTTTATGTTAAAACTGCTTGCCATCATTCTCTTGAGGGCGGGCAAAACGTTGTGCTGTTCGAACAAGAAACTAAAGTGTCTCCTCCATTTTGAAGCAACCAGGTGTTGATGCAGGTAAAGGATTAAAACTAACCGAGTAAGTTTATTATATTTTATGTTGGTTCATTGTCTAATTTAGACAGTAGGATAAAACATTTTACTGAAGTACATGTTTCTCGTGAATAAATGTAAAACACAATAATTAAATCCTAAATCTATCTGCTTTATATCTCTATAATAACTTTAAAACTCTGTAAGTTGTTTTCCTGTTTGATCCGCTCTGCTAGATGAATGTTTTATGTTTCTACTGTCAATATTAAACGCTTTGGTTTAACAACAGAAGAAAGAAAGAAATCAGTCATTTTGTGTGTTTATTATGAAAAACATTATGGCAGCTATTGCATTTATTGTCTTTACATTTAACAATAAGGTGAAAATGTAAAGATAAATATTTCTGCTTTCAACAGTTTTTAAAGCAGGAAGGTTAAAAAGTTTCCTGCTATAGAAAAACTTCTTTGATATGTGAAATATAAAATGTGTTTCAGAAAATGTTTCATTTGTTTATCCAGATGTAATTTATAACAAAACTATTTCTGAAGATATAAGTGTTCAACACTGAAGAATAACAACGGTTCAGGAACAGGAACCATATTGTCTTTGTGACAGTTTTTCCAACTGGGGGTGGAGAAAAAGACCTGACTGACTGACTGTCTGACTGCACCCAAAGATCAACTTACAATCAGTTTCTTCACAGCATTTCTACAGAATAGAAACTGAAATCCCAGGCTCCAAAATAATTGAATATATCCATGAAACACAGTTATAACTCATTGAATGGGATTAAATGTGTGTTGAGACATTAAATAAATGTTTTCTCAGCAACAACTGAGTTCATATTTACTATTTATTACATTGTAGAAAGAAATAAAAGCACAAACAAAATGTAATTTTGTTAAATAGTTTTCATCACTAATTCCAGAAAGTGAAACTAACGCATATTATATAGATTCAGTCAAATATTCTAAGCCTTTAGTTTTTACAACATTTATTATGGTTTACAGATAATAAACTCAACCTCCAGTGTCTCTGGAAATTTTATTATTGTAGAATATATTGTAAAATATTAGAAAATTATGGTGTAAAACTAATCAGTGAATTTTCTCTAAACAGCTGCAAAGGTTTCCTGAGTCTCTAAGTTTCTCAGTCTGAGATTCTTTAGAAGATTTGCTGATTGAACAGAAAACATGTTGACTCCACATAATGAGATGTTTATTTATCAATCAATCAATCAATCAATAAATCAATCAATCAATCAATCAATCAACTTTTATTTGTATAGCACATTTCAGCAGCAATGCATTTCAAAGTCATGCAATATAATAAACAATATATTGTTACATATTACATTTAAAATAAAGTTCTAAACAGGTGTGTTTTTAGTTGTGATTTAAAGGAAGTCAGGGTTTCTGCTGTTTTACAGGTTTCTGAAAGTTTGTTCCAAAGTTTTGGTGCATAGATGCTGAAAGCTGGTTCTCCTCTCTTGGTTCTGGTTCTGGGGATGCAAAGCAGACCAGAACCAGAACCTGAGAGGTCTGGAAGGTTGATACAACAACAGCAGATCTTTGATGTATTGTGGTGCTAAACCGTTCAGTGATTTATAAACTAACAACAGTATTTTAAAGTCTATTATTTGAGCTACAGGGAGCCAGTGGAGGGACTTTATATTGAACACTTGTCTCCATGTGTAACCGGATCTTTTCTGCGTTGTGCTGGTTTGAAGTGATCAGGCTGTGACACAGTTTGTCTTTAAAAGGATGGTTGCTTGATTTATTCTGACAAGAACATAAAACAACCGTGATAGAGGCTGTTGCTCCAAGTCCTACACAAAACAAGAGCACAAAACAGAAATCAACTTAATAAATCTATCAATAAACTGGATGTCAGTTTATTTAGATGGAAAATAAATAGTGCAACATGACAAAAGGGGAGGGCCAAAGGAACGCAAACATTTTAAGAACAATACCACAGAAGAAGAAATAAAGAGGAGGGGCTTCTGCTCTTAAAGTAACACGGTTAAAACAATGACAGAGATTTTCAATCAGGTAGGGAACAATACAAATAACCAAAAAAAAAAAGACTAATTGTAACAAAAGAGAAATGCAACCTGGTTACATTGCAAGGAAGAAAGAAAAGTTATTATGCAATAATAAGAAGCTGGTTGTTCAGAGTGTTTATCAAAAGTTTAGTGGAAGGAAAAGCTGTGCTAAATCACATTGCAGCAGGGATAACTGCAGCCTTGTTAAAAAGCCACTCACAAGGAGAAACCTGAGTCTGGATTCAGAGCAACTCAGTTCACTCCTTCATAAGAGTTGGATTCACTCAGATGAATCCTAGTTAAAGCATTTTATCCAGACTGAGGAGAAGTCCTTTTTTCAGATGAAAGTAAAGTTTATATTTAATTCATGTATCAAAGCCCTGAGTCTCCAGAGTGAAACTATTTACAAATTAACAGATTTCTCAGAAATTTAATATCTCTGTTTAGCATAAATTGATCTTATGCAATTTTCTAAATAACTGTAAATTATAATTAATGTTGCAAGAAGAATTACAGAATAAAACTCTGTGATGAATCTATATAAAATGTATCTAACAGTGAAATTAACAAGTGATGCAATACTTGTACATTGTCATTGATTAAATATGTTTTTCATTATTCAGCAGGAAAAAAAACAGTAAAGCTCACTCACTGATGTTTCATGATTATAAGCAACTGATTTCACTCAGAAAGTTTTATAATAAAATGTTCAGCAGCTGCAGAGAATGAAAACAGTCCTGTTGCTGTATGAGCTTAAAACCACAAGGTGGCAGTAATAATCTCTTTCTAAACAGCTTTTATTAGACCTGAACCATAGACCCAGTTGTTCCTTGTACTGATGTTCTGCTGCCTCTCCTCCTCTTCCTCTCTCAGGATGAAGATGATGTCCAGCATCCTGCTGCTCCTCATCCTCAGCTCATGTCTCTGTGGTCAGTCTCCATCTTGTCTTTGTGACAGAAAGCTCTCTAGATGGAGCTGAAAGACTCCCCATGTTCCAGTTCTCAGTGTGTCTGCTCCTCTCTTTCCCTCTCTGTCTCCTCAGCAGCAACATTTGTAGTGAATGTGACACAGAGCAGCTATCAGGCAGAGGAGAAGCAGAACATCACTCTGGAGTGGACCTTCACCACCAAGACTCAGGGAACCTGGAGGCAACTGTTCATCTACTGCAGCTTAGAGACTTCTGATAAAGAACTAGTTCTCTATGAGGTTAATAATGGTGTTGAGATTCCAGAGTCTCAGGATGATCAGTTTTCAGGACGAGTCCAGAGCGACAAAGACGTCCTCAGAGAAGGACGAATCAGACTCCATGTGTCCAGACTGAGGACTGAAGACTCTGGTCTGTATCTGTGTGACGTGAAAACTGAAGATGGATTCAACCATGCAGGATGTCGACTTAATGTCTTTGGTGAGTTATTTGCTGTTTTTTTTTTTGTTTTTTGTTGTTTTTCTTTCTTTGAACATTTTAGACCTTTATTGAGCATTTGTGGAAACTATTTATTAGTGAAATGTTTTAGCTTCTCTTTATTAAAGTTCATGTTTGATCACATCTCTAAGCTCTAGAGGTCAGAAGGTCGACCTCAGCATAGAGTTGTGAATTCAGCTGATCTAATAGATGAAAACTGATTCTATCATAATTCTGCTGAAGTCAAAAGTGCAACATCTTAATTTTATTTCATTATTAAAGTGAAACTATGAAGGTAAAAGTTAAATTGGTACAAGGGATAAATTATCTACAGTTTCTGTGCCAGCTTATATCTTCAGTAGAAACATATTTAGTATCTTCAATACTTGGGCCAGTTCCAGTCTATGGGGCCACTGGCCCTTTAGATTCATCCTGAGTACGGCCATGTAAAGGACTGGACTTTTCTGCTGAGAGCAAAACATGCAGCACTTCTATGTTCATCTGTAAGCAAATAAAACTCAACCAACCAGAGTCAGGAGAAGGCTTTTAGTGCTGACAATCACCATCTTGTACGTGCTGCTCATACCTTTTCTTTGCTCTTGGCTTCAGCTCCTCCTCCTCAGTGAAGCTGCTGTGATTGAGCTTTGAGTGCATAAATAATAGAAATGTAAATAAAGGACGACGACCAGAGCTTCTCAGGGCCATGATCACCACGGTCCGAGTCTCTCACAGGGAGGGGAAACTCGCAGCAATGGCCCACTTTACTTTATGTGGCTGTTTTCCTAAAGCTGTCATTCACACACAGAGGTGTGTTTTGTTCAGGGCTGGTCCAAGAAGATATGACTCAGGACGTCCTGGTTCTGCAGAGTAACTTCCTCAGTACTGGATGTTTCAGTGAAAACCTCTGGGTCAGGAGCTGGATCTCCTCTATGGACAGGGTCTCATTATCGTTATCAGGTTCAGTCTAGGAAACATAAATGTGTTCAGAGAAAGAAAAGGTAGAATATAAAATGTTTTATTACAGAAAGAAGGTTTTACAAACAACCTGTAACCCAAATAAAACTCAAAACTAGAACTAACAAAGTTAAAGCAGATCAAGTGTAACTTTATTAAATGACCAAAATAATGAACATGTTCATTTAAACTCAAAACAACGCAAAAGAAAAAATGAACTCTAAGGAAGTAGCAAACTCCTCAAACACAATCTTCTAGCAGAACAAAATATTTAAAATCTTCAAAAGTCTTTAAAAACACTAACAAGCAGCAAAGTGGTCAGTTTTACAAAGTCTCTTCATACAAGCTGCCCCACTGGAGGAAAAGCTGCAGAGTCTTTTATAGATGGACCTCATCAGCATCTCATTGGTCATCATCTGCTGGTCCGATATCTTTGCTGCTCCACAGCCAATCAGCATCTGAACCTGCATAATGACTAGAGACTGGACTGGACCAGTCCAAGAGTTTCACATTTCACAGGTCAGGAAAAGATTCAGTTTAGAAAAAGGGAGCAGGAAGTAGGCTAGTCATGCTAGCTTGACTTTGAAAACCTGAACATGTAGATGTGCTGAGGAATTTATGTTCATTTCTGTTAAAAACAAAAGATAATCAGTAGTGAAAGTGTTTAAACTAATCAACTAATCAATCACTGCTGTGTTCAGATAATCACTTATTATCATAAGAAGAGAAGAAAATTTTGCATAAATGATTTTTTCTTGTAACTCTTATAGCTGCTGTTTGCTTGTTGCTTCATTCCTTATGTTGCATTAAAGACAGAAATTACAGAATGTAAAGAAGCAGAAATATCTTTTGGGTTTTCTGAAGGCAGAAAAACAGAAACAGCAGCTCTGATCCTCCTCTGGTTCTGCTTCACACATCAGACCTTTTTAGTAACCTCACAGTTTTCATGTTGTCTTGATGCAGACAGAAAGCAGCCAATCAGAACATCCCAAGTCATCCCAGCACTTTTCATCTAGAAAACAAATCAGTCACACATCACATCATAAAAACTATTTTACTACTAGAATAATAATAGAAGCTCCTGCTGAAAATTCAGTAAATATTTATGCAGGTCAACTAAAAAGTTCACATGTACAGTGAATTAGTTTTCCCCATGAGTCATCATCTGACCAGCTGAAAGACAAACTGCTGTGATATTTTCCTGTACCTGAATAGTTCATCTGTAATCAGTGCTGGTTGCCTCCATGATTATCAGGCTCTCCAGAAAACCAGTCTGAGGAGACGAAACGGTTCCCATCGCTCCACAACCAAATGCTCAGCTGGAAGACAATAAACAGCAGATGATACATTTCATTCAATGTTTCCCAACAAATAAAATGTAGTGGCATCAAAACCTGCTGTGCATCAGAGCCTCCAGTCCAGGCTGGTTTGGTTTAGTGACCTGCTGCAGTTATTATAATCTGAATCTGATGATATTCATTCATGTCCTGAACTGATGCAAAGTTTCCCCCCATGGACAGACAGTTTCTCTACAGACATAACAATTAGAAGTAGCTGGATTTCTTCAGTAAAGAATACAATAAATTAAGATCACAATGTTACTGGAAATCACCTCGACTCTTGACCAAGTCATGGGTTTCTGAACATATTGAAAGCAGCAACATTAGGTGGCGCTCTTGCACAGTTTCTGTTGGGATTTTTGTGACAATCATAAAATATGTAAATTTCCAGAAGGTTTGATGCGTCTGCCAAGTTTGGTGAGTTTTCAATATAGTAAAACCAAATCAACTAAAAGACTGTTAAAGGGAGTCCTGACTATTTTCTCCAGTAAAATATCTGGTTTTATTTTTCTTGAGTTAAACATCAGTAATTTTACAGATGTAAATAAAAAATTAGTAGATTTACATTTATAAACAAAATAAAAACAAAACCTTTATTTTGAAAAACCTGTATTACTGGGATATCTATATTTTTTCACAATTGTAAAGATCCTACAGGAGAATAAGTATGAATGTTATCTGAACAACAAACAGGAATATTAGTGTTTATTTATCATTATCTTTGTTTATTCTTCCAGTTCCAGTCCAAGTTCAAGTTGTTGGTCATGATCCGATACATGCAAAGGTTGGAGACGACGTTATTCTGCCATGTCATCTGAAGCCTCCATTTGACGTGAGCAAACTTACAATGGAATGGAGATTCAAGGGTCAAATAATCCATGTGCAACGCAACAGAGCTAAAGATTATGAAATTTTAGACCCAAAGTACCGTGACCGAACCTTCATGTTCCCTGATGAGTTTAAAAAAGGCAACATTTCCCTCAAATTGACCAAAGTAACCAAGGAGGATGAAGGGAATTATATTTGCTTTGTTCCCAAACTGCAAAGTCAAGTCAGGAAGGGAAACGTTACTCTAATACTTGGTGAGTTTTATAAAATTAAGATCATTTAAGACAAACTAAATAAATATATTGTCTATAACTCTTAATGTAATTATTCAACAGATAAAAATGGATCCCAAGGCGACTCGACAGATACTAGAGGTAAATATGTTTAACTAGGTAACCAGTGGTTACTGGCCCTCTGACTCAGTTTCAGACTTTCTTTGTTACCTGCAGCCATTGAGGCTCATTGGGTTGAATATTCATCTTCAGGCTTTTCCTGTTATAACATGTTGATGTGCAGCCGTTGTAAAATATGAGCTGAGAAATTTTGATTCTTGAGAATAAAAACCCTTTAAAAACATTGTTGCATTTCTTTCAAATATGTTATTCAAACCTAATTAAATATATTCTTACAGATCTAAAAGATCTGTACAAATGTAACCAGAGTTTGAGAGGAACAGAGCGGCCATTTTGTCAAAGCCAACCTGTTTGTCCTGTTATTAGCAGCCAGATCCAAATGGAAAACAAACCAAAACATGAAGCTGCATGTACTTGCATTGATCTATCTGTGAATCTATTTTAATTTTTCTTGCACTAGTTTTGTGCCACTGCAGGCCCGTTTCAGAACACAAAAACACTAATGATACTCTAATCCAAGATAATGGACGGTACTGGTTCTGTTAGATCTTTGTGACTGTCCAGTACAGACTTGTGTACTGGTTTTGATCCAGTAGATCACAATAATCTCTTTATGTTTTGTGCTGTAGGGATCGAGTAAACAGCACCAGGCAAGTTTCATTTATATTTGAAAAATTGTAGTTTGAATAAATTTTTTCCTCAAACCACAGCCAGACATGGAGTACCACAGAGTTCACTGCTTGGACCAGTTTGGTTTTCTATCTTACAGATTTGCACATTGGCCCCAACGAGACAAAGATCAGTCCAAAATCATTCCTAACAAATCAGGAAACTGGGGAATCTATTTAGCAGGGAGCTTACTTTTATTCCACAAATCAAATATATATATATAGAAAACTGGATTTGCCCCTCCTTGGGCTGCCACCTTATCGTGGTAGAGGGGTCTGCTCCAACAATCCCAGGCGCTATACTGTCTGGGGCTTTTTGCCCCTGGTAGGGTCATCCAAGGCAGACATGTAGGTGACGGACCAGACAAAGCACAGCCCTAAGACCCTGATGACGAAAGAAAAATCTGGACTTGGTGTTCCCTCGCCCAGCCATGGGTCACTGGGGCCCCACTCTGGAGACATAGGGTTAGGGTTAGGGTAAAGTGACAGTTTTTATACATTACATTTGTTTCAGAAAAACACAAAACTGTTTTATGACTTCATATTTTTAATTACATTTTTGTGAATCTGTGAATCCTGTGGTTTTATATCATGTAATGTGTGATCGTGTTACTGTGAACTGCTGAACTGAATTAAACTTTAGGGATACATAAAGTTTTGTAAAGTGCAGAAGCTGAAGTTTAATAAATATAACTAATGAGATTTAAAGAAGATTTATTTAGTACAATAAAATAATAACCTGTCTGTGTTGTTGTTCTGCTGCAGGAAGATAAAATCTAATTAATCCTCTGTGTTGTGACAGAAACTCTCTGGTCTTTATGTGAGCCACTTTCTGCAGATGACAAATCATTTATTAAAGTTATTGAAGCTCATTTTAACAGTAGAAAATGAAAACATTTCAGGAAATTACTTTAACGCACTGGTTTTTACAAACTCCAGAAAAATCTCATAATAGACAGCAGCATAAATAGTTATGTTTATTCAAAAATACAGTGAAAACTGAAAAAAGCTTTAATGGTATTTTACTTAAAATAAAATGTATTAAAAGCATAAAATCTGAGTTTTCTCATTATTCTAGTTTAACAAACTAATTAAAAGTCTTTGATCTCATGACAGTGAAGGTGTTTTTATCTGCAACACGTTTCATGAAGCTCCCTTTTCTTACTGTATTAGGAAATGTATTTTACTAATATAGCAGTGATTATTACAGCACCACCAAGACTCAGGGAACCTGGAAGAATCTGTTCATCTACTGTGAAGCGAACACGGATCATGGAGTCTTAGTTCTCTATCAGGTCCATGAAGGAGTTGAGATTCCAGAGTCTCAGGATAAACAGTTTTCAGGACGAGTCCAGAGCGACAAAGACGTCCTCAGAGAAGGACGAATCAGACTCCATGTGTCCAGACTGAGGACTGAAGACTCTGGTCTGTATCTGTGTGACGTGAAAACTGAAGATGGATCCAACTCTGGAAGATGTCGACTCAACGTTTCTGGTGAGAAGAAATATTTTACTCTGATAAAATCCTGAGTTGTTGAATTTCTTCATCTTCTCCATGAATCCTCCTGGATCTCAGTTTTCATCAAATATTAATAAATATTTCTGATTTCTCTCCCAGCAGCTGCTGATCAGATCCAAACTCAGAGACCAAGATTGACTCCAGAACCAGAGAGACGAGGAAGGATCATCATCATCATCACTGTGGGACTAACAGCAGGAGCTCTAAATGGACTTTTCTATCGTTTTTTAGTGAAATGTTTTCTGTCAGGAGAAAGAGACTAATATGTTATTGACAAAGAAACGTCATTAACACAAAATACATCTCTTTTATGTTAAAGAGACATAAAAGAGACAATAGAAAGGCACTTTCTGTTGCTTTCTCAACTTTGATCAAAAGTTACAGAATGTTGATCTGTAACATTAAACTCTTTTCTCTGATGTTTATGTAAATGAAGGATTTTAAAACTGAAACAATTTTATAAGATAGAAAATAATATAAGATGTTATTTATCTGTAAGTTCAGTGTTTCAGGTTTTATGTGATTTTCTTCCTTCTGTTCATGAACCAGCAGCAGAGTGATGTTCTGGTTCTGGTTCTGATCCGCTGGCTGCTGGAAACAGACGTTCTGGACTCAACCAGAACCAGAACCTGAAACCAGAACCTGGAACCAGAACCAGAATCAGAACCCTGATCTTAGATGCTTTAAGCTGCAGCAGCTGATGAATCAGTGAAGTTCTGGATCTGCTCCACTGGTTCTGGTTCTGAAGGTTCTGCTGTAAATAAATCCAGATTTCTTCCCTCATGTTGTCAGAACCTGATTCTCTGCAGAACCTTTTAACATCCAACATGAGCTGCAGCCGTTTGGACCTCAGCAGAACCAATCCAGCTGCTGGATCTGACCTCAGACCAGTTCTACCATCAAGGGTTCTACTGGAGCGCCACCTGGTGGTGGAGTTAGGAACTGTGAGCTTATAGAGCTGAAGGTCTGAGTGATGGACCGACTGGATCGGTTCAGTTTGATTTGTTCTGTTTTTATACTTTTTCACTATCAGTGTTAATCCCAATTGTAATTTTAATTTGTGTATTAAAATGATAAAATTATTAATTCTCCTGTTTTTTCTCTTCTATATTAACATTAACACACAGAAGTTTTTATAAATATAATATTAGTATGTAGATGTTATAATTACAAGTCAACATGTATTATACAGACTGTCAGCCCATATCATGCCAGCACCACCTCTGTGTTTCAAGAGTAAAAACTGTTGAAATAATCATTTCTATCTGTTTTCATGGATTTATCATAAATGAGTAAAAATATTATAATCACAACTTTTTTCAAAACTTAGAAACTAAAATATTTTCCAGCTGCTCTGAGATTTCTGCAGACTGTATGTAGAAATTAACCTTTAAACTCCACATGTTCACACAGACAGACGTTTGCAATCAGTTTATTGATTTACTGACATTAAAGTTACAGAAAAACATGAAGGAAATATTTTCAATTTGTGAATATTTCTTTGAATTTGTCATATAGATCAGATGTGATTATATAGATATAATAATGACTTGTCCTATTTTTAACCCTTAACGTTTTCTTCTAGCAAATGAACTGTAACATGAGAATAAATGACAGAAAGAGAAAATGTTTCATTCAATATGAGAGCAAAGCTGCTGGTTTGATGCTGTTTTTCACATCAGTGATCAATAAAGTTTAATGAGAGAATCTGGAGATTTAAAGTCGTTGGATTGAACCACCAACAGATTATATAGAATAATTAAACCATTCAGGTCAACATTTGATCCTAATGAATATTTTTTATATGTTTTAACAGCCAGAAATGACAATTTGTTTGTTTTTGCTCATTTTTATGAAGCCAGTTGTGCATCAGGCCAGCAGATCGTCATCATGTTGAAAACTCAGTTTAAAGATTTAAAGATGAGATTCTTTGATTTAGAAACTTTCATCGTCTCAAATTCATTCAGCATTTTTATCTGTTCTGCTGCTTTGAACTGAAACTGAACATCAAGGCAGCTGAGTCGTCATTTCAGTGACTTGAAACAACATCATCAATAATTATTGTCTCAATATTACAGATAAAGACAAAGAAACTGTAACATCTGCAGTTCAGATCTTCAAACTGAGGCTGAACTAAAAATCTTATTTACGGCTGTGTTTCCAGTTTGGTTCATTTTCCAGTTTCTGACCACAAGGGGGCAGCAGTATTCTTTACCAAAATGATCATCATGCATCTTTGCATTCCTGGTATTTAGAGTTTTCCTCTACAAAACACCATTTCCCACAATGCACTTCTCCTCTGTGACCACTTTAACAGCTTAAAGCCATTCAGACGTGATCTAGTTTTCTGTTTGAGGCCAAAGAGACTCAGAGTTTCTTTGGCCTCAAACCTCTGAACTGAAGGATGAGCCATACATGGTCCGCCATGTTTCCTGCTTTACAGCCATGGAAACCGGTTAATACCTTTTCCTCAATGGAAGTAGCTTATTCAAGGATTCAGTTTGTTGCTTATTGACACTTTGTTGATTGACGTCTCAAAATTAGACGAATCACATCACAGTTAAACATCAGTAACATCTGACCTTGTTCCATGCATAGCATTTTTGTAAACAAGCTTATTTAAAATAAGACCTCAGTCTACATTCCTACATCCGAGCCGTCGAGGTAGCTAGTTCAGGGATTTGGTGTCTGGCTCAACGACACCACAACCTGTGACATGGCCGTAAATCGTCCCACCAACCTTTTGGCCAAAGGAAGAACGACGGTCGGCCATGTTTATGCGCTACTTCTATGAGGTAGAAACTGTTTTCTCAGTGTAATATTTCCCTCCCGTGATTCCACTGATAGCAGCACCGTTTCTGTAGCGCTGTCGGCAAAGTGCAAAGTGCATTTGTAATGAACCAAAATATTTCCAGAACAAGTTCTGCTCATTCTGCAGAACTCAGTTTCTGGAAACCATAAAACACACAGAAGCTGGACCTCCAAGTCCAATAGGGACTGAAGACGGGGCAATCTTTGGGGAGGTCATAAGGTCATAAGGTCATAAGGCCTCCTCTAACACAAAATCAGGTCATGAAAAAAAATAAAAAATATTGGGAGTGATTTTGATTGTGGATTTTTGGTGAATCTATGTCCTGGAGTTTGATGAGCTGAACCTGAAACCTGAACCAGCAGCAGAGTGGGGCGAGTCGTCCTGCTGCCAGCAGGAACAAACCCAAACCAACATAAAGTCCAAACCTCCCGCGATCCACCAGCTCTTGGGTTTCCTCCTGAGTCTGAGGAATGGAAGCTGCAAAGAAAGAATCAAGAATAAATCAGTAGCTGCGTCTCCATTGATGTTAAAACTCTGTAAAATGAAATTATGAAAGAAAATTTGCTTAATGGAAACAACCCGATTTTGGAAAAACGCATGTTTTAAGAAGAAGAAGAAGAATTTTCTGGGTCTTAACATTTGACTCATTCATGTTTTTAATGACTTATTGCATGAATAAAATTATTCACATGTGATTTTAATTGTATTTCTTATTCAATGGAAACACTGTATCTGTGAAATGTTTTTTTTCTTCATTTTTTACATTTATGAAATATCAAAGACAGTTTGTAATAAACATTTGTAATGAAAATGCAGCTTTTCAGACCCAAAAATAAAGTGGAAAACATAAAAAAGACCAGAAAATAAAGATTAAACCATTTTTATCAGTAAAAACTCACCTCTGACTACAAGCTCCCAGTCTCTATGGTCTCTTCTTCCGTCAATGACGACGTAGCACCGGTACCGACCCGCATCGCTGAGCCTCACTTCAGCCAGGAGACACCGGATCCCTCCATTCCTGACCAGCTGGGGGTCACAGTGCAGTCGACCTTTGAACTCATCATCTGTGTACGTCTCATCTCTGCTGTCGAACCGATAAATCCTCCTCAGCGGCTCCATGCTCATCAGATGGACGTAGAGCCGGTCAGGCGGCGTGGCGTTCGGATCCGGACGGATCCATTTCAGCGTGATGTTGGAGTTCTCCTCGGCCTCGTAGACGTCCAGAGTTTCATTCACGGTGGGCAGAGATTTTCCTGCAGGAGTCAGAAAGAGACAGAAGCAAGAAATCACAACACAAATCCTCAGAAACACTTTGATGAAGTAGTTCTGATAATCTGATGCATCATCACACCTCCAAATATCCAGGATTTGATGTTTCAGACGCTGACGGACGATTTAAAACATTTTCTCACAAAGCTTCAGGTAAAAGTTTATTTAAAGGCTCAGATGAAAAGTTGTGATCAAAACACTGACAGGAAATAGATCCAGTGATATCAGATCTGCTAATTATTCCTAGAAACCTGAGACGTCTTTCATGCTCTGAGTTAAAGTTCAGTTTAAAACATTCAGTCATATTTTCTCACCCAGAGCAGCAGAACTCAGAATCAGAACCAGGAGAGACGAGGAGGTCCGGTTCAGCATTGATGCTCTGTTAGAAATAATAAAACACATTAATTATAGACATTATTTCACATGCAGAGACCAAAACATTTTACTCCAATAGCAGTAGCACTACTTCAACATATTTATACTCCAGTCAGAATAAAATAATGTTTGGTAAAAAGTTACTGATCAAATTATCAATCATTTAATATTTAAAATTACATAATCAGACAAACCAAAACATAAAGTTTTGAGGAATTTTTGATATTTTAAGGAGAAAAATGACAATAATTTATTTAAGCAACAACAAAATAACTAAATTAGGATTTTTTTTTCCAAATCAGTTTCTTTCCATAAAAAACTTATAAAACTTTAACAAAAACTGCAGGTTTGTGTTTAATTCTTGGTTAAAACATGTTTGGTTTTTATTCAGTGGGTAGAAAATCCAGAAATTTGACTCAAGTTAGAAAAACATCATAATAAAAAAACTCAAGTAAAAGTAAAAAGTAATAAAAACAACTAAAGGTACATTTGTTCTAAAAAGTTACTCAAGTTAATGTAACTGAGTAAATGTAACTAGTTACTATTGATCTCTGATCACGTGATGATTACAGAGGATCATCATTTCAATATGGCGTCCAGATGAAACACAAAATGGAGGAAAATAAAATGTTTCGCTTTGATCAGATCTGCAGACGCTTAATTAGTTTAAAGTTTAGTTTTAGTTTAAAAGTCATGCAGAAAACAGAGAGAAGTTTTAATTATGATAAAACTGATAAAAACATGTTTGATCAAAGTGAAACTAAACATCTTAGTTCACTGAGTGTTTCTCTAATGATCGCTGTTACAGAAACTGACGTTTTTCTGCAAACATGACGCAGAGAAAATATGCATTTATATCAAATATTAAATAACTAAAAGCTGAAATGACCTTTGAACCGAAACCTTCATGCAAAAAGCAGCGCAGTCATGAACAATAGGCCAGCGGTTCAGTTTGATTTCAAGCCAGAAGTGGTAAAGAACTTGGCTTTACATCACTGATAAAACACGCCTCTACCAAAGATATGACTCATCAGCCTTGACTTGAGGCTGTTATTTCAACACCATGCGGTCATATAACGGTAGGGGGCGCTGTAATGTCTGAATGAACAGAGGAGGTTCAGCCTTTACTCGTATCTCTTTACTGTTGTGCTGTTTTTGGTTACCACAGAGAAGGGCTTACCAGAAACCATTCTCTCGTCGTGGTGAATACTAGTGAAGGGCAGATGAGGCCTCATTGGGTGTGTGGCACATTTCCCAAACTGTGTTGCTGTATCGCTCAATGGCGACATCTGCTGGATTTAAATAGTAATTCAGGAAACATCAATAAAGACTGGAAACAGACTGAACAAGGTTCATTCACACATTTTTATTTAGAAACATCAGCTGCGTTAACATCTTTGGGCCAATCGCCAAGAAAACAAAACAAAAAGAAAAAACTGAGTTGTATTTTTTATTATTTTTTTAACTGTTTACAAATCAGCCGAGATGAATGCTGCAGTTTCTTCCTTCTGACGTATTTCTATCTTTAAAAATTAAAAGTGCAATTAGATCATACATAAATTCATCAAATCAGACAATATTCCTTCATCGGAGAAGCGACACATTAATAGTTTCTGGTCCTTTTTATGAAACTTGAATATAATGCGATTATTCACTTTAAAGCATTTTCATTTTGCCCAAAAGCTTTAGGGAATTTTCTCTTGCTTTTGCTGGTCCATATTGGCTGTATGGATTTTCCTTCTTGACCTCAAACCGGTTTAAAAAAGTAAATATAGTTGCAGTAAAGCGTAATATAGTAAGAGGTTCAAGAATGGACAATTTGAACCTTTTTGGTATTAAAAAATGATTTTTTTAGGACGATATTTAGTGGAATTTTATACAACAACGTGATGTTGTACAATCACGTTGTTGTATACATTTAATCCACAATAGAAATAAAAGTTAATCCATGTAAACTAATTAAAGTATTCTTCAGAAAGAAATTGGAATAACCCGACAGAAGAATGATCAATAGTGGAAACGAGAACGGAATAATAATTGATCTTATTCTCCGTGATAAGATCAAAATGATCAAACGGGAGAAAACTTTCTCTTCCTCGATTGATCATAGTTTTCATTGACAAGCCAAACAACACAAACTATCTCCATCCAACAAAACCCACCAACATGTCGATACATTTTCTGTTCATAAATACAATTTGGCGCCTTCACAACCAAACGACACAGGAATTGTATCGGTCACGTGGTTTTCCTTAAAGAGATACGCGCACCCACACGGGGTTTCGCCTTGTTTGCTCGACGCATGCGCGGAGGTTTCAGTCAGACTCATCACTATGAACCTGCTTCTTAGTACAAGAAGGACAGAAAATACAAGGTTTTGTAAGCCTTAAGTTTTCCTTTCAGTAAGATCAGTGCTGAAAATGAGAAAAATAAATAGCACAGAAAATGCGGCCAACATGAAGAAAAAAAACCCGTTACGATTCCTCTACTTCACAAACTATAGGTGCATCAACTGGTCATTATACAAAAGAAAAAAGGAATTGGGAGGGAAATGCAGCTTATTTGGCATCTGAAGAGGGAGAGCTTTTAGTAAACTTGGTGTTTAATGGGAGAAGTGAAACATGTGCATCTATTGGTGGAGATGAACAAACTCAGGCAAATCGGCTACCGACTTTGTTGCAGTCGATCAGTAGGTTGGGTCTAAACATTTGCGTTTCTCTCTCTCACTTTTTTGTAACGAGTAACTAAACCACACATTGAAAATGAAGCGGAGCAATTAAGTTCTGAAATGTAGTGAAGTAAAAGTGAAAGTTATCAAAAATTTTCATATGAAAGTTACTTTGTTTCTATACAACACTGATAACAAGAATGTTTAAATAATAAATTAGAGCTCTAATTTACTATTTCCATAAAACATTAAATATGGCTTGTACTTTTAAGGCTCTGTTTCAAGTCCAGTTGAATCCAAAATGCTTCACTCTGCATTCAGTCATTCATCCATTCATACTCATCCATTCATACACTGATGGTGACCAATACTGGATAACAGCCTCAGCTGCCCTGGAGCAATTTGGCAGCAGCTGCTGTGGGTCGATGCCACTGGCAGGTAAGGCAGGTGAAGTGCCTTGCTCAAAGGCACTAAGAAAGAAGCAGATTTGAACCAGCAACATGCTAATTTCAGAACAAACTCCTAACACTGTTGTCACCACTGGTTTCTCTAAACACATGAAGTGAAACAGAATAAATCCATCTGAGTAACAGAATAACAGATCATTGTTTCTGTATCAAATATTTCAGTATTTGATACATTTCAAATACTGAAATGTATCAGTATTTCAAAACCCCTAAAGATTGCCTAGATCGTCAACTTAATGCTTTAAGATTGATAGCAAAGTAGTTTCCAACACTGGAGAAGAAACAGCTGCATATAAAAACTTAAAGTAAGTCTTATTATAAGACATAAAACCCCATTATGATGTGTCTGTAGAAAGGTATTGAGAACATGAATCTGAAGCAAAGCAATAAACGACTCAAAGTCATTATTAAAATATGTCAAACAGAAAAAGTTCAAACAAAAATGTTCTTGGTCAAAATGTTTGGTTTCTTCTTCTCATTTTCTTCCTAAACTAAATAACTATCAGTCCCACTGTAAGAACTCTGTGTGCGTCAGACAGGCACTAATTCAGATCTCTCATCAATTGAATCTTCCTCTGTTAGAAGGAATAGGCAACTCCGCAGATGCAGCTTCGAAGGTTTATTGTAGACTGACAAGCATCGATGAATATGGGATGAAAGGTGGTACAGTAGATGAGTTTATGTATGTGTATGTGTGTGTGTGGTTATCTGAAACAGAAAAACAATAAAGTTACATTAATAACTATGCGAGTAAGAACGGCTACACATAGGTATACGACAAAGAATGGTATGCAGCACCACACAACTCCTCCAGAGGGCACTACAATACCATCGGTAAAATGTAAGCACACTAATGACAAAACTGTCAGAAATACAAGTTAGTGTTAAATACTTTTACGTAGTAATAATAATAATACAATAATATATATGTGACATATATAACCGAGTATAGCACAACCTGAACTATTACAGATAATTTCCTGTACCGTCGGCAGCCAAACACGAGGATGTCCCCACCTCCTGTGCTAACAATCGACATAAACACCAATATGTACGGTGGCCCTGAGGGTAAAACACTACAACATTAACAAAAACACAACAACATTAACAAAAACACAACAACATTAACGAAAACACAACAACATTAACAAAAACACAACATTAACAAAAACACAACAACATTAACAAAAACACAACAACATTAACGAAAACACGACAACATTAACAAAAACACAACATTAACAAAAACACAACAACTTAACAAAAACACAACAACATTAACGAAAGCACTACAACATTAAGGAAAACACAACGGAAGAGGTAGGTCCCAGTGGGAGACCTAAGAAGTCGCTGATTGGACGACAGGTCGTTTCTCTTTTGAACCGGAAGTTATGCTGGAGTGCTTCGTTTGATTGAAAACCTAAGGAAGCGGGAATACAGTCACTTCGCCATGTATTGCCCGAACTGTGGAAAGGAGGTGGTTGAGCCGTCACCAAATTTTTGCAGTAATTGTGGCAAAGGCTTCAAGAAACTTGTATGGAGGATACTCCACAATGTTCAAGTAAGTTAAAAAGTATAAAGGAAGATTCATATTTCTTATGGATGTAGTAACTTGCTAACGCTAGTGGTCTCCAGACCGTGTCCACTGTCATCTAGTTGTTCATTATAAATGCAATTAAAAGTACACAAAGTCGCTATAATACAGCAGAATTGTATTAGCTATATATCGTAAGGTCCGTTACAGCCTTAGGCACTACTTTTTTAGGATAATTGGTGTCGTTCTGGTTCTGCTGCACTGCGATCAGGCTAGCCGCCTTTTTGGAAGCGAACTCGCACTTAATTTATACTTGTGGCAGCTTTACTTCAGTTCGTAATACATATCGTCTGTTTGCATGAATGTGATGTGCGACATTTTTTCTTTGCTTTACTTCTAGCACAACAGACTGTCCCATCCTGCCGTACACCAGCCCTCAGCACCTTCCTTGAATAGAAAAATGAGGAGCGACCAAAGTATTCTCTTGGGAGAAAGGGGTTAAAACAAAGGTAGAAATGAAAGTTCGGGTAGGTGCTAAATTCGGTTCCCCTGTGTCGGGAGCGATCATTACAGCCAGAGAGACGAATGAGGCGGATCTGACCATTCACGTCGCTTCTGATCGATTTCTTGGTAAAACAACTCATATAATCATGTGAAGGTTGTAACATTGAGTTTAATTGGCAGCTGTTGTTTAAAAAAATAAACAAGATCTTCTGATGCTGTTTTTTGTTATTTTATACGCCAAGAGAATCGCTCTTTTTCCAACGTTTCTCACGTAAGCCTGGCAGAAATAAGTCAGGCACCAAACACAGTTTTCCCAACACATAGTGTATGTAAAGATTTTTGAGAATTTGGAAACAGTTGTTCTTTATTCCCCAAGGTTTGGTAAGGGTAGGAAAGAATAGAGGAAATTATAATCTGGTCCCCCTCCATAATATGGGAACAACTTAATTTACCAGCAAGATTTTTTTCTCTGTTTATTCCTCTCATCATCAACAATAAATTCTGTGATTTTGGTAGAATTTGCTCCTTGTTTGCCAGAGTTATGAGGGGAAAGCCATATATTTTAGGTGACTAAAATAATCTGTTCCCCCTTCAAAACATGGGGACTATTTACCAACAAGTCTTCAACTGTGCTTATTCATCTCTTCATCAACAACAAATTATTTGAAAACATTTGCTCTTTATTTGCCAGAGATATGAGGGGGAACCATATATTTTAGCCACCTGAAATAATGTGTCCCTTCCAAAACATGGGAACCAATTAATTTACCAGGAAAATGTTCTCTTCATTTCTCAAGGTAAGTGGCCTTGGGATTAAACTATCTTTCCACAGCTGTCTTATATCACATTATCCTTCTCGAAAAACCATCAATGCACCCTGAGATGGCCAAGCCGAATGGCTTCAGTTTTGTCGTAGCCATCTACATGCTATATGTAATTGGGCCCCGTGGAGGGATACGTGCGTCTTGTAAACCTGCGAGTTCTCAGAGCGATGCCTTGAGGATTCAGCTGCCTCAGCAGTCTCATTACAACATCACGTTTGACACGCAGGTTGTGTTTTAGTTTGAGAACTTGCCACATGGTCCGATAGCCAAATAATTGCCCTGGTCCTCTAAGCTGGGACATAATGGCACGTCTCACTTCAGGAAGTGGAGAGTAGTTGCCTCTTCAATGCAGCCCTGCTACTTTCAAATGAGTCTTTACTGAACGCATGCTAACCGACACTTCGTGGTTGGTCTGGAGCATGTCCAGTATCACCTCGTAAGTATGTCCTGACTCAAAATATTTACGAATAACAGTACTAAGGTTTGGATCACTGAGAACATTCTTGTTTTCAGCAATCAAGTTAAAGCCAGCATAACTTCCGGTTCAAAAGTAAAACGACCTGTCGTCCAATCAGCGACTTCTTAGGTCTCCCACTGGGACCTACCTCTTCCGTTGTGTTTTCCTTAATGTTGTAGTGTTTTCGTTAATGTTGTTGTGTTTTTCTTAATGTTGTGTTTTTCTTAATGTTGTTGTGTTTTTCTTAATGTTGTCGTGTTTCCGTTAATGTTGTCGTGTTTTTGTTAATGTTGTCGTGTTTTTGTTAATGTTGTCGTGTTTTTGTTAATGTTGTCGTGTTTTTGTTAATGTTGTTGTGTTTTTGTTAATGTTGTTGTGTTTTTGTTAATGTTGTAGTGCTTTCCTTAATGTTGTCGTGTTTTCGTTAATGTTGTAGTGCTTTCCTTAATGTTGTAGTGTTTTGCACCTCAGGGCCACCGTAAATATGGTATATGAAACGGCACACTTACATCATATAGAACGCACACAGGTTTTACACAAACAGGATAAAAAGGGATTGATGGTGGATGTCACCCGCAGACGCCACTCCTTACAACAGTAACACAGGAACATGAGATCAGAAAACTAGCCCAGCTATGTGCAACGATAACAAGCAAAGGAAACACAGATGCACCATGGGTAATGTAGTTGTACCAGAACGGACAGACTTTTAACACCCACAGTGATGATGATGATGATGATGATGGTCCTTCCTCGTCTCTCTGGTTCTGGTCTCCTTTTCTATGTATAGCAGAAAGATTATGTTTGAATGATGAATGTTAAAAAGCATCAACATCTCAGATGTTTTTCATTCAAACTAAATAAATTCATAAATTTCACTTTAAAAATTGATGACTGTCATAAAATGGAGGAATGAGGTAAATAATGTGGGTGAGAGGTTCAGTCTTTCTCATTTCAGAGATAACAAGGACTGGCTTTGATCATCTCTAAACTTTAATGTTTTTAGGAGAATTTAAAGTTTTATCAAAATGCAGAGGTTCTTATCCACCCATTAGTGTCTTCATGCATCGTTACTGCAATGCTCTGCTTTCTGGTTACTCAGGAAAAGTTTTATGGATCTGCAGACGGTTCAAAACGTGGCTGCTTGCATTTTACCAAAACCAGGAAATGCTCACATTTCTACTTCTGTAATCTTTTCACCGGTTGCTTCAGGTTCCAAGACTTTAACGTTTTGCTGCTCATTTATAAGACTTAAAGTTTCTGATCTTCTGCAGCTTTATGTCCTACTGCATGTCCTCCCATCTTAAGACACTGACCTTTTAAAAAGTCCTAAAACCAGAGGAAAACATCTGGAGAGAATGTTTTTTCCTTTTGTGCCTCATCATCATGTCTGCTTTCAAGACATCAGACAATCATGTTTTTGAATGATTCTAAGTTAAAGTCACATTTGTTCCCTCTGATTTATGTGTATTAATTATACTGTATTTTTAAACTGTTTAATCTGATTTGTTTTGATCTCCTTATTGTTTAGCATTTTGAATAATGTTGTCATAATAACTTGTTGTATAAAGTTTGACTTTTTACATATTTAATGTGACAACAGCAGTTTAATAGAGTCTCGGACAAACGAACAACTTACAACTAGAAGTTTTTTTAAAATTTAAAAACTACCCAGCAAGTCATAATAAAATACATAAATATTGGGTTATTTATGTAATAAGAGCATTAAAAATAAGATTTATTGACAGAAATTAATTAAAAACCTTTTGAAGGCTCAAGCTGGGGATCAAATTGTCAACTTTTGCATGAATTAAAAAAAACTTTTCAAGACAAATAATTTATCAAAAGCTGAGTAAGAAACTAAACTACAGAAACATCTTTGGACTTGAGATGTTCTTTAACTTACATGATTCTTGCATCTTTTATTTCAATCTATAAAAATATTATTAATATGAACGGCTTCCTTCTGGGTTTAAGACATACAGTTTTTAACCTGTACAGTTTTATTATTATTCACAGTTATATACATGTAACAGTTTTCATACCAACAAACTTTGAATAGACTTTAGATCAGGTGAAAGATTCACTTTGGTTTTGTTTTCCTTGATCCTGTAAAGGTTTTCCTTCTTCTTCATTTCCTGGGTTGACATTTTCTCTGCGATCTATGAAACACAAAACATTTTATTAATAACATCATCTGATTGTTTGATTTCCCAAAGTTACATTATTATTAAGATGACTTGAATAAAAACAGAATTCTGTCATTTTTAGTTTTTATAAATAAAATTATCATCAATCAGCAAAAAATAAATAAAATAAAGCATTAAAGTTTTGACTTTTTCTAAAATTATTTTTCTCTTATTTGTTTCCAGATGTTTGTTGAGAAAAATAAAACAATCCAGAAACCAAAGCATATTACAATAAAATGTAAACATGGTCACATTGAACTGAATATTTAATGTATATTCAGATGTCAGATTAAAAGAATATAACTTTAATGAAGGCAGAAGAAATGTCTCATTAAGCTCTAATTATAATCTTAAACATGATTTATTAGCTATCAGCTTCTCTGTTGAAGAAAACACAACAAAGAAGAGAAAATCTGAGTTTTGTGCAGTAAATAATAGTTTAATTTGTAGCATTTTATGAATGAATGTTGTTGTTTTCTGGCTGTTTCTCTTTAGTGCGTCTGGATCCACAGGTTGGACCCTCTGGTCTAAACCTTCATATCCTGTTCAGGTCAGTGGGAATACTGGTGAGCCATGATGAACCCAGTCAGGTCACCAGTTCATTGCTGCTACATCAATGATCTAATATCTAGTCAGTCACATTCAGTCACTAACAAGGAATCAGCTTCCTGGTTTGATGCTCAGCTGTGATGTTCAGTGACTGCAGCAACACAAACACATTCATACATCTATATGAAGTAACTGCTTAGTTTATCACTGAGCAGAAAATAAAACAGGAAATAATTAACATAAGTTATTAATCTGGAATTGATCCATTTTCATACCTTCATCATTTCTCTCTGGTTCATGTTGAGAGTTTTTGCTCCAACATGGAAAAACTGTAAACAGTGAATATTTATCTTAACACACAATATAAATGAGGCGACAATATTTAATTCTCCTTATCAGTTTTTAACTGGTAAAAATAATTAATCAACCTGATCAGGCAGAAAAGCTACAATAAACAATAAAGACCAAAAGAGAAAAAATGAAACTAATAATGGTTTAGTTTCTTGTTTTCTTTTCTTTTCTCATCAAAGATCAATAGATATTGATAAATATGTGAAACTTTTCTTATTCATGTTTATCAAGAGTTTTACTTCTATTTAGCTTCAGATCAGTTTTTGCAAATGATAGAAAATAAATTGGTATTTTCTATCAATTGGAAATTTGCATGTATGGAGATAATTATTAATTTAACAAAATCCTGCATGACTTAAAAAGACAATGACTGACTTACTTTGTTCACCTCTGTAGTGACGTAGAACACGTTGGATTTGAGATCGCTTGATTATGATGACGACGATGATGATGACGGTGAAGAAGAAGATGAGTGCAACAACAACACCAACAATAAACTCTAGGAGGTCCTGAGGCAAAAAAGAAAAACGTGTTTTTAACAATCCGCTTTTGAATATTTTGAATTAGATTTTTTCTCTTTTTGTTTTATTAATGAGATCAAAGTTGTGAATAAACAGTCACCTCATCATTCATCATTTACTGCATCTCTCTCACACACACACACACACGCACGCACGCACGCACGCACGCACACACACACGCACGCACCCCCACACACACACACACACACACACACGCACGCACGCACACACACACGCACGCACGCACGCACGCACCCCCACACACACACACACACACACGCACGCACGCACGCACGCACACACACGCACGCACGCACGCGCGCACACACACACACACGCACGCACGCACGCACACACACACACACACACACACACACACACACACAGGTCTTCAGGTTTTATCTGCCCAGCTGAACATCAACATGTTATAACAGGAAAGCCTGAAGATGAATATTCAACCCAATGAGCCTCAATGGCTGCAGGTAAAAGAAAGTCTGAAACTGAGTCAGAGGACCTAACCACTGGTTACCTAGTTAAACATTTTCATCTGTTCAAGAATTACATTAAGTGTTAAAGACATAAAAATATTTATCTGGTTTGTCTTAAATGATCTTAATTTTATAAAACTCACCAAGTATTAGAGTAACGTTTCCCTGCTTGACTTGTCTTTGCAGTTTGGGAACAAAGCAAGTATAATTCCCTTCATCCTCCTTGGTTACTTTGGTCAATTTGAGGGAAATGTTGCCTTTTTCAAACTCATCAGGGAACATGAAGGTTCGGTCATGGTACTTTGGATCTGAAGCTACATCATCTTTAGTTTGGCTGCGATGCACATGGATTATTTCATCCTTGAATCTCCATTCGATTGTAAATGTGGTCAAATCAAATGGAGGCTCCAGATGACATGGCAGAATGACGTCGTCTCCAACCTTTGCATGAATCGGATCATGACCAACAACCTTCACTGGAACTGGAAGAATAAACAAAGATAAAAATAAATAAACACTAATATTCCTGTTTGCTGTTCAGATAACATTCATACTTATTCTCCTGTAGGATCTTTACAATTGTGAAAAAATATAGATGTCCCATTAATAGAGGTTTTTTAAAATAAAGGTTTTTTTTTATTTGTTTATAAAAGTAAATCTACTATTTTTTTTATTTACCTCTGTAAAATTACTCATGTTTAACTCATGAAAAATAAAACCAGATATTTTACTGGAGAAAATAGTCAGGACTCCCTTTAACAGTCTTTTAGTTGATTTGGTTTTACTATATTGAAAACTCACCAAACTTGGCAGACGCATCAAACCTTCAGGAAATTTACATATTTTAAGATTGTCACAAAAATCCAACAGAAACGGTGCAAGAGCGCCACCTAATGTTGCTGCTTTCAATATGTTCAGAAACCCATGACTTGGTCAAGAGTCGAGGTGATTTCCAGTAACATTGTGATCTTAATTTATTTTATTCTTTACTGAAGAAATCCAGCTACTTCTAATTGTTATGTCTGTAGAGAAACTGTCTGTCCATGGGGGGAAACTTTGCATCAGTTCAGGACATGAATGAATATCATCAGATTCAGATTATAATAACTGCAGCAGGTCACTAAACCAAACCAGCCTGGACTGGAGGCTCTGATGCACAGCAGTTTTGATGCCACTACATTTTATTTGTTGGGAAACATTGAATGAAATGTATCATCTGCTGTTTATTGTCTTCCAGCTGAGCATTTGGTTGTGGAGCGATATTTGCTTACAGATGAACATAGAAGTGCTGCATGTTTTGCTCTCAGCAGAAAATCCACTGAACCCTTTACTTTCATCAGTCTTGGAAATGTGTTGTTACATCAGTCCAGTCCTTTACATGGCCGTACTCAGGATGAATCTAAAGGGGCCAGTGGCCCCATAGACTGGAACTGGCCCAAGTATTGAAGACACTAAATATGTTTCTACTGATGATATAAGCTGGCACAGAAACTGTAGATAATTTATCCCTTGTACCAATTTAACTTTTACCTTCACAGTTTCACTTTAATAATGAAATAAAATTAAGATGTTGCACTTTTGGCTTCAGCAGAATTATAATAGAATCAGTTTTCATCTATTAGATCAGCTGAATTCACAACTCTATGCTGAGGTCGACCTTCTGACCTCTAGAGCTTAGAGATGTGATCAAACATGAACTTTAATAAAGAGAAGCTAAAACATTTCACTAATAAATAGTTTCATTTATGCTCAATAAAGACATAAAATGTTAAAAGACAGTAAAAAAAAAAAAGCTGCTCTGACAAAATAACTCACCAGTAACGTTGAGTTGACATCCTCCAGAGTTGAATCCATCTTCAGTTTTCACGTCACACAGATACAGACCAGAGTCTTCAGTCCTCAGTCTGGATACATGGAGTCTGATTCGTCCTTTCTGAGGACGTCTTTGTCGCTCTGGACTCGTCCTGAAAACTGATCATCCTGAGACTCTGGAATCTCAACTCCTTCATGAATATGATAGAGAACTCGCGGTTTATCAGGAGTCAACAAGCTGCAGACGATGAACAGATTCTTCCAGGTTCCCTGAGTCTTGGTGGTGAAGGTCCACTCCAGAGTGATGCTCTGCTTCTCCTCTGCCTGATAGCTGCTCTGTGTCACATTCACTACAAATGTTGCTGCTGAGGAGACAGAGAGGGAAAGAGAGGAGCAGACACACTGAGAACTGGAACATGGGAGTCTTTCAGCTCCATCTAGAGAGCTTTCTGTCACAAAGACAAGATGGAGACTGACCACAGAGACATGAGCTGAGGATGAGGAGCAGCAGGATGCTGGACATTATCTTTAACAAAAAACTGCAGGTTTGTGTTTAATTCTTGGTTAAAACATGTTGGTTTTTATTCAGTGGGTAGAAAATCCAGAAATTTGATTCAAGTTAGAAAAACGTCGTAATAAAAACAACTAAAGGTACATTTGTTCTAAAAAGTTACTCAAGTTAATGTAACTGAGTAAATGTAACTAGTTACTATTGATCTCTGATCACGTGATAATTACAGAGGATCATCATTTCAAATGGCGTCCAGATGAAACACAAAATGGAGGAAATAAAATGTTTCGCTTTGATCAGATCTGCAGACGCTTAATTAGTTTAAAGTTTAGTTTTAGTTTAAAACTCATGCAGAAAACAGAGAGAAGTTTTAATTATTAAAAAATTAACATATTTTTCTGTTACTTTTAACACGAGAAACAAATTAGATGTTTAGTTTCAGTTTCAAATTAAACTGAAACTAAACATCTTTGTTAACTGAGTGTTTCTGAATCATCGCTGCTACACAGAAACGGACGTTTTTCCGCAAACATGACGCAGAGAAAATAATTAATAACTAAAAGCTGAAATGACCTTTGCACCGAAACCTTCATGCAAAAAGATTGTACGAACTCAGAGAGGTGAATATGTAACCCAGTGGTTCTCAAATGGGGGTACGCGTACCCCTGGGGGTACGTGGAGGTACTGCAGGGGTTACGTGAATCTTTTCAAAATATCTTTAAAAAAATCAGTTGGCTCCTCATAATAAGTCTTGAGAAAAATTACTTTGTAAGAAGTTCGATAAAATATAAAGGTGTGTTCATGCACTGAATTTTTATTCAGTATTTAGTTTCAAATCCTTTAAAATAAAAACGGACCCAGCGCACTGTTACCATGACTACACTGTAACTATGGAGACTGGCTAAAGCGTAGCAGCAATGCTGCTGAAAGTTCAGATAAAGTGAAAAAGAAGACAAAACCAGAGCCGAAGAAGTACAGAACGTACATGAAAAAGTATGTTTTAATGGGATTTACGTCCACGAAATTAGCCAATGCTAGCATGCAGCCGGCTAGCATGCAGCGGCATCTCACCACAAAACATGGACGCCATGTTGGTAAGAACCGGAGTTCTTCAGGAGAAAACTTTCTGAGTTCAAGTCATTCAAAGCCACGATGCGAAAAACCTCCACTGCATCAGCCAAAGCAACGACTAAAGACACGCGGTGTCTTTGCTCGTTGCTAAAGCCAATAAATCGTTCACCACAGCGGAAGACCTGCTGCTCCCCGCTGCTGTTGAAACTATGCTGGACAAAAAAATCAGCGGATACATTAAAAACTGTCTAATGACACCGTTACTTACTGTTCAAACCGAATCAAATGTTCAATGCAAAGTGATTAAAGTGCAATCTTCTTTTTTATATCCTAAAAGAGGTAACGATTATTGTTTTTTTGTGAGAAAATCTTTATTTATTAAGTTAATTTATTTTGTAAACAAAATATAATTTATTTATAATTAAGTTATAGATTTATTTCTGTGAACTTTTTAGTTATTTATGTATATATTTAATTTTGTACCATTACAGAGACCAATATAAATTAGCAGTGCTTTGCATATTTCAGTTTTGACTGGTTTTACGCCTTCCTGGTGCTCACTATGTTCTGTTTCTCCATGCAATGTTTGCAATATGGATGTATTTGTCAGGTTCACTGATATAAGGTGTTTGGCTTTAATTAATCAGACAGTGATTTTACAGCACTGTTTTTTTCTCCAAAAATGTTTTGGCCGTGTCAGGGGGTACTTGACTAAAAATATATTTTTAAGGGGGTACATCACTGAAAAATGTTTGAGAACCACTGATGTAACCCACCCCATTCTTTAGTTGTTCGTGACTTGACAGGGTCAGAGACAGATGAGCAAGTATCAACCTTTCTCCAGAAGTATGGTTCCATTAACCGTTACATTCACTTAGATGATCCTAAATCAGGTTTCCATAAAAACATGATTATTGAGTTTGCACATGAAACTGCCATGAAGACATTGGAACCATTGTTGCCTCTTCAGCTTCGAAGCACGACTCAAGCAGACATTGTGTATGAGTTAAAGGCTTTAGGAAGTGTCTACACCGTAGAAGCCAGAAGCAAAGCTACTAAAATGTACATGGAACAGCTCTCTGAAATTGCCAGGCTGAGTGGAAGTTCACTAGGAGAAATGTTGAAGGAGGAATTTAAGTCTAGTTTCATCTGTCAAGTTCCTTTGCGCAATCACCTCAGACTGATCCAGAATCCTCAGCTCCACAGAGTCCTATCCCACAAAAAGACTCACCAGCAAAAGAAATACCCCATCTTCTGAAAACCCTCAGTCAGTGATGCCTACAGATTCCCCGATTTTGACACCAGCAAGTGATCCAAGTAAGCCTCTCAACCCCTCCATTTTCAGAAAAACCTTATAGATCTCAGCCCCCACAGACTTTGTCATTCTCATCTGAAACCACTACTACGCCAGTAATCGATGCTAATCCACATGCAGTTCAGCGAGTGGTGGTTGAGCATGTGGTGCGCAGCAGTGATACCTCACCCAGTTTGCTTCACCCAGGAGATTCAGAGCTTTTTCAGGCAAGAGTCCAAGTCCAAGCCATGAAGCAGATTATGATACATGGCGTGCAAGTGTTGAAATTCTCATCAGAGATCCAACTGTGTCAGACTTGCATTGCACACATCGTATATTAGACAGTCTTCTTCCTCCTGCTTCTGAAATGATTAAACATTTGAGCCCACAGTCTAGTCCCTCAACTTATCTCAAGTTGCTTGACTCCGCCTACGGGACAGTTGAAGATGGTGACGAGCTTATGCTAGGTTCATGAGCACCTTCCAGAGACTGCACACTGCTTTGAGCAAAACAATGAGACGTGGTGGTGTATCCGCTCCAGAGTTTGACCAACAGCTTTAAAGCAGTTCTGTAGAGGCTGTTGGGAGAACGCTTTAATAGCCAATCTTCAGATAGAAGAAAAGATAGAAAAACCTCCTACTTTTGCAGAATTGTTGCTCCTTCTTAGGACAGAAGAAGATAAACAGGCTGCAAAAATGACTCACATGCGACAGCATTTCAACCATGCCAAGTCTGGCCACATGCCCAGCAAGCAGCGTGCCATGTCACATGTGCATCTTGCATATGACACAAATGATTTGATAAATAAGACTGATCTTGAGATGCTCAAGCAACAAATTGCTGACCTCAGCATTCAGGTGAAGAGCATTGTGTCAGAGTCAAAAGCCAAAACAAGCTAAGCAACAAAAGACAAAGTCTGTTCCTCTAAGTGTCACACATGAAGCCCATGTGGTGAAATCAGAAACAAGCCGTCAGCATCCTTACACAATTAAAGCAAATGGCAGACCACGACCCTGGTACTGTTTCCAGTGTGGAGAGGATGGCCATGTTGTTTCAGTCTGTGAAAATGCACTGAATCCTTCCCTTGCAGCAGCTAAGAAAAAAACAGCTGAAAGAAAAGCAGGCTGCTTGGGAAGCCTCTAATGCTTCTCAAAGTGAGACGCATTTAAACTAGTGTCTGCTCTCATAGAGGGACACATGGGAGCAGAGTCACAAAACTCCAGTCCCAAAACCATAAAAGCTGTTGGTAAGAGTGTTGGGGTAGAAGGGTCAAAATTGTCATATGACCTGGTGGGAACTAAAACTACAGCTCAAGTGTCTATTGCAGGGAAAGACACAAACTGTCTGTTGGACACAGGTTCACAAGTCACAACTGTGCCCCAGTCCTTTTATGAAGAACATCTTCTGATCTGACCATTCATTCTTTAAATGATTTGCTTGAAGTGGAGAGAGCTAATGGCCAGTTTGTCCCCTATTTAGGATATGTTGAGCTTACCATCACTTTTCCTAAAGAGTTTGTTGGCTCTGATATTGAGATTAACACTCTGGCTTTGGTTATTCCTCACCTCCGTTCTGCAGCCCATGAACAGATGCTTATAGGCACAAACATACTTGATGTTCTTTATGCTGATTACCAGAAACTTTCATCTTTTCAGCCTTTGATGAATGGCTATCAGGCTGTTCTCAAAATATATGTACTTGAGATATGACAAAGGGAGCTTATCCACAGCAGCCTTGGTTGTGCAGAACTAACGGGCAAGCTGCCTAAAGTTGTTCCTGCAAGGCAGACCGCTGTTGTTGAAGCGTTTGTTCCGTTTAATCGTTTGAACATTCAGAGAGATGTTATTCTTGAGCAACCATCAGCTTCTTCTCTACCGAGTGGTTTCCTCATTTCAGGGATTGCAGTGACTTTACCAAGCAAACACTCATGTCATATTCCTGTCATACTGAGAAATGACACCAATCATGACATAGTCATTCCCCCAAAACTATTGTGGCAGATGTTAATGCTATAGTACGTGTGTTGCACAAAGAACATACTGTCAACGACTCAAACTGTCCTAAATTTCAAGCAAAGTCTTCCCCATCACTGAGCTTTGATCTTGGAGATTCACCTTTATCCACTGAATGGAAAGAGCAAATAACAAAATGTTAAACACCATGCCAAACGTTTTCTCTCAGAATGACCTGGATTTTGGCCATACTGATAAAGTGAAACACAGAATCAAGCTCAGTGATGAGACGCCTTTTAAGCAGAGAGCACATCCGATACACCCCAACGATGTAGATGCTGTGAGACAACATCTACAGGAACTCCTAGATTCTGGAGTCATATGGGAATCAAGAGTCTCCATTTGCTTCTCCAATCGTTGTGGTTCGCAAAAAGAATGGTTCTGTTCGTCTGTGTGTAGATTACAGAAAGCTGAATATTAAAGATGCCTACGCTCTTCCAGAACTGAAAGATGCTTTCAATGCACTTGCTGGTTCTAAGTGGTTCTCCGTTCTAGACCTCAAGTCAGGCTACTATCATGTCGAAATGCAAGAAGCAGACAAACATAAGACTGCATTTGTGTGTCCAGTTGGATTGTGGGAATTCAACAGGATGCCACAAGGAATAACAAATGCGCCTTCAACCTTCCAAAGACTGATGGAAAAGTGTGTTGGCGATATGAACCTAAAAGAAGTTTTAGTGTTCATTGATGACTTGATTATTTTCTCAGCCTCCCTGGAAGAACATGAACAGCGCTTGCAGCGTGTTCTTGAACAGTTGATGACATATGGTTTGAAACTGGCACCACAGAAGTGCAAATTCTTTCAAACATCAGTAAAATACCTTGGTCACATTGTTTCTGAGAGAGGACTTGAAACGGACCCTGAGAAAGTTGCGGCCTTACAGACTTGGCTGATCCCCACAAATCTTAAACAGCTTCAATCTTTCTTAGGATTTGCTGGATACTATCGACGGTTCATTCAGGGGTACTCTACTATTGTAAAGCCACTTAATGAACTAACATCAGGTTATGAGCCGGGTACTTCCTCTCGCTCTTTGAAAGTCCTCGACTCGCAAAAGCTATGACTCGAGATTGACCATCTTGAACCTGATGTAATGCAGCCCCAAGGCCAACAGTGCTGGCATCTGTATGTAAAACATACAGATGCTGGGGGTCTGCAAAACCCAAGACTGGAGCTGATGTTAGCTTTCTTATTATGCCATTGAAAGCTATCTGACATTGAGGTGTCCACCGCTCACCAAAGGACTCCTTTCTGTCTCTTATTCAGCTTTCTGAGTGGTGGATAACCTTGAATTATTGGCTCTTAAATGTGGAGTCACAGAAAAATGATCTGAGTTCCTATATGGTACAGACTTCACAGTAGTGACTGACAGCAACCCACTTACATATGTTTTAACATCCGCAAAGTTTGATGCGACAGGGTACACCAGTCTTTCTACTTACTCATTCAGTCTTCAGTAAAGAGTGGGAAAGCAAAGTCTTGATGCTGACGCACTGTCTCGCGGACCTCAAGCATATGCTATGTGCAATGCTAATATCTCCCGATTGACAGATTAATAAACAAAGACCGCCTCCAAACCCAGACTTGGTGCTTTGTGGTTTGTCCGATCACCACACACAATGCAGAAGTTCACCGGTCACACTTAGCTGTTTGGGTCTAATAAGAAACGATACAAAAACAATAGGCCTTGGCAGCGCTTAGCTGTTCTTTGCTAACTAACCTGTTTCTGTTGATGCAGATCCAGATGTAAGGAAAGGAACCGAGATAATCAAGGCAGCGATCATCATGACGTAGAACTTGACTTTAAGTCAGATTGATTTGTTCTTTCTTCTTTTCTATTATGGCGGATCGCAAGCAACTTTAAGGTGCATAGAGCTGTTGTCCGAAATTCGGTTTCCCTATAAAATTCGGTTCCGCTGTCGGGAGCGCGCATTACAGCCAGAGGCGGATGTGACCATTTTCACGTCACTTCTGATCAATTTCTCGGTAAAACTCATATAATCATGTCAAGGTTGTAACATTCAGTTTAATTGCCAGCTGTTGTTTAAAAAATTGTAAAATAAATAAATGAACGAGGTCTTGCTGTTTTGTGTCATTTTAAACACCAAGAGAATCGCTCTTTTTCCAACTTCTCTCACGTAAGCCTGACAGAAATAAAAGTCAGGCACCAAACACAGTTTTCCCAACACGTAGCGTGTATGTAAAGATTTTTGAGAATTTGGAAACAGTTGTTCTTTATTCCCCAAGGTTATGGGGTAAGGAGAGGAAAGAATGGATAATTCAGCAGCCTGAAATAATCTGTTCCCCCTCCATAATATGGGAACAACTCAAATTACCAGCAAGTTTTTTTCTCTGTTTATTCCTCTCATGATCAACAATAAATCCTGTGATTTTGGTGGCATTTGCTCCTTATTTGCCAGAGTTATGACGGGGAATCATATATTTTAGGTGACTTATCATACCTTTATAAAATCGTTTTAAGGATTGCTTATCCGCTCCCCAGTCACTGCCAGTCAAGCATCTCAAAATATTTAAGATTTCTTACATTTATCTACAACTTTTTGAATATGTACATTCTGTGGTGGGATGGTGTTTGCATGGCATGTTTTGTTTATCAATTTATTTCTTTTGGAATGATTTAAATTGTTCTTATTTTCACAGAATCCCCCTTCCAGGGACCAAGTAGTACGCCTGAAACGTGTTTTTAAAAAGAGAAGTGTTTTAAAGAAATTGTTCAATAAACTATTGTATATAGTTTATTAAACAGTGTTCTGGTGAGTCCTATAAATAAAAGAAACCCCGCCCCTGGGTCGGGACACAATTCCATTTTAGTTTTTCATCAAACCATAATCCTAAAAATTTTATACATTTTACTTGCTCTAATTCTTGGTTATATCATTTTAATTTTACTTCCTTGTTTATTTTTTTCTGAGTAAATATCATTACTTTTGTTTTTTCAACTTGTAGCCAGTGCATTATGTTTATTATGCACTGTTCCGTTTGCCCATATAAGGAAGACGCTGTGTTGGAGCGCAGCTGATTCATTACGGAGACAGATAATCGGCATTTACATTTAAAAGATCGCTGAGAGGGTGAGAGTCCAGGCTGATTCCTCTACAGGTATGGTTAACATGAAGCATGCACTGGGTTCAGAATTATTTCTGACGCCTTTATTTTATTGTTGCAGGAAACTTCCTCTTGGAGAGGACATATGGAGCTCTGCTAACTTTTAGAGAAGATAAAGGCAGCAGGGCCGTGCAGAGACCATTAAAGGGCAGGTGCTCAAAAAAAAAAATAAAAGGGCACATCTAATCGCATTTTAGGACAGAATATTAACAAAGTCGGACAGCTTTCAGAGTTTAATTAACAATGACAGATCACAAAATTGTGAGACATACAATCAAAGAACATCTGCCTGGATTGCTGTACTTGCAGTGGAGATGAAGACGGTCCATTCAGAAAAACAGCTGCATCAAACTTTAACGTGGAACTACAGGAAAAAAACAAAAACAAAAATTTAATTAATGCATGTCACTATGAGAAAAGACTACTCTTAACATAATAAAAGCATAATAGCTGCCTTGTAATATTAAATATGTGTTCACTACCAAAAACTGCAGGTTGATGATGGTCAGAACCTTTACTTTATTCTTACCTGCAGTACTGGTTCTGACCCAGTTGGTCAAGAATCCACTACCTTTGGCTGCTTCTAGCAGATCCTTTCTTTTTTGTTTCTGACGTCTCTCTTTACGCGGCATCTTTGAACTGAAACAAGCAAAACATAAAGAATTATGATCAGAACACTATATAAACCACACTACCAGTTCTTTACCCTTGTGTTTAAACCAATATGTTTTTCAGTTCATAGCATAACAATATTAATTTCAGAGAAAATGAGACCTCTCCTATGGAGTTCAATTTGGTTCACAATTATTCAATTCAAATACTAACCTCAATTAAATAATATAAAATTGTGATCGACATTTTGAATTGTAACATTTTTTTCACCAAAAAATGTTTAGCTTAATTTTTAAAAAAAAACTGAAATCACAAATTTTTATCTCATGACTTAAAAAAATGATTTGCAAAACAAACAAACTTATTTGCGCATGTCAGAAATCTTTGCTTGCTATTCAAAGTTTTGCTTGTGATTCTCACATGATGTCCTTGGCAGAGCCTGAAATCAAAACCAAAGATTTCTGATGTGTGCAAATAATAGTTTATGTTTGACCCTTCATTAATGACATGCTTTATTGGACAGAAGCAGTTTGATTCTTACATACATTATATCCATCATGGTAGTTCAGGATGAATTATTTTTAATTCTAAATGAATGTCCTTGTTGGACTTTTATTTAAGTACTTCAAGATACATTTAGCTAACACTAGAATAAATGCAATGTACATAATTCACCAAAGAAAATGAGAAAATCGGACATATATCCACGATGAAGATGATTCTGGTTTTGTTCGGGCGATGTGCCCCTATTGCATAAATAATGTTGTCATTAACAATACAGGGAAGCTATTTAGTTACCTTGCTTTGCTAGCAAACTCATTAGCTAGCAGCTAGCTCATAGCACAACAACAACAGCCTAATGTCTGTACGATAAAAATACTGGATCGATAGATATGAACAGCTTTTGCTCACCTGTCTGTCTCCTCCCGCTCAGTTTATTCAGAGAAAGGTGGACTCAGAGAGCGCCGATATTTTCCTCTTGTTATATTTCATTTCTGCTTAAACCGCGACTCCGTGCTGAAGGAGAAACGATACATTCTACGTTTTCCGTTATCTGACAAGTAGCAAGCCAACTCCAGTTTTTTCACCAAAAATAATTTTTTTAATTCACCAAAAACGTTCGCTAGCTTGAGCTCCGCAGTTAGCCGCCTTATCTCACCGCGCCAGAGGCAAGTGCGTCGTGCGTCACGGGCAAAAGGTCAAAGGTAACAATGTGACCGGAAAGCTTATTGTGTTGTTTTTCTTGCAAAGTAATAATAATAATAATAATAATAATAATAATAATAATAATAATAATAATAATAATAATAATAATTGTAGGACATATGTAAGAGGTCATTGAGCAAGTTTATTATTAGGCAAGTTTATTATCTGTCATTGCCCACTAAGGTGGGCAATGACAGAAATTTCGAGACTATTTGTTGGATCAACAATATATTGTATGGACTGATAATAATCCCCTCAGTCACTTGAACACAGCTAAACTGAGGGCAACCGAACAGCGTTGAGCAGCACAGCTGGCAGATTTTAATTTTTCTATCCGTTACAGATCAGGCCGGGCAAATGTGAATGCGGATGCCCTTTCAAGAAAGCCACCAACAATAACAGCGGTTGATATTCCTCTGCCTGGAACACTGGTTCCCTCGGTGAAGCAGCCTGCCTGCCCTGATGTAATTCAGCATGTGGTCCAAGCTGCAGTGTCTGTTTTCCCCACTCATACCCCCGATGACCTTATTGCACTTCAAGAAGCTGACCCTACTATAAATGTTTTTGTAAGGTTGTGGAGGGTACAGAGACGTCCAGATAAAGCAGAGAGGGATAGTCTCTCCCCAAAAGTCCTGGAGCTGCTTCGACAGTGGAGCAAGGTGAGGCAGCTGAATGGCTTGTTATATCGCTGTATACAACATTCTGATGGTCGAGAGGATATCCACCAACTGCTGCTGCCCGATTCTTTGAAGGAGGAGGTGATGAAACAGCTTCACCAAAATCATGGCCATCTGCGGGTGGGGCGGACCACTGAACTCATTAGGGAGCGGTGCTACTGGTCGCTGATGCACAAAGAGATCAGAGATTGGTGCCAACAATGTGAACGCTGCATATTGGACAAAGCTACACACCCCCAGGCTCGGGCTGCCATGGGGCATTTGTTGGCCTCAAGACCAAACCAAGTCTTGGCAATAGATTTCACTTTGCTGGAACCATCACAAGATGGTAAGGAAAATGTTCTCATCATGACTGATGTGTTTTCAAAATTTACCCAGGCTGTAGCAACCAAAAATCAGAGGGCATCTACTCTTGCTAAGATTCTTGTACAAGACTGGTTCTACAAGTTCGGTGTTCCAGCCAGACTACACTCCGATCAGGGCCGTAATTTTTAAAGTGCATTGATCCAGCAGGTGTGTGTGAGTTGTATGGAGGGCAGAAGACTCATACTACCCCCTACCAGCCTGAAGGTAATGGCCAATGCGAAAGATTTAATAGGACGTTACGTTATCTGCTTCGAACTCTACCTATTGAGAGGAAGGGAAACTGGCCTCATTATTTGCCTCGAGTGCTGTATTCCTATAATACCACAGTCCATCAGTCCACGGGTGAGTCTCCTTACCTTTTGATGTTTGGCCAAGAACCATGTTTACCTGTTAACTTTCTCCTTGGAAGGGTTCCAGAGATTCGAGAACAGAGAGTGGAGGACTGGGTCCAAGAGCATAGGCACAGACTACAAGTTGCCTTTGATGGGGCTCAAGATTACCTGAAAATGGCTGCGGACCACCGGACAAAGCGCAATGATGCCAAAGGCGTGCACTATGTTCAAGACCATAGTAATAAAGGAAGGAATAAGATTCAGGATGATTCAGGGTGAAGGACTCAGGAGAGGCAAGGACATCACCAACATTAGGGAGGAGGAGGCGAACGAGGAACCTGATTTCGTTTATGTGGTAACTCGATCAACGGCTGTGGAGGCTCTTGCCTCCACAACTTCGGTGGCTTCTCTACGAGGAAAACAGCCGGTTATCATTCGAACCCCCATCATCTTCCAGAGAGGCCAAGATGTAGGGCAGAAGGCGCTACAGTCTCTCAGATCACTGGTGCGGTTAACAGCGTGGCTGACATTTTTCGACCATGGCGTTAGTAAGATAATTGTATATTGTCGGGCCGTCAACACAAAAAGTTGGGGTAGATTGTAGCCGGGGAATTATGTTCATTATGCACTGTTCCATTTGCCCATATAAGGAAGACGCTGTGTTGGACTGCAGCTGATTCATTATGGAGACATAATCAGCATTTACATTTAAAAGATCGCTGAGAGGGTCAGAGTCCAGGCTGATTCCTCTACAGGTATGGTTAACATGAAGCATGCACTGGGTTCAGAATTATTTCTGATGCCTTTATTTTATTGTTGCAGGAAACTTCCTCTTGGAGAGGACATATGGGCTCTGCTAACTTTTAGAGAAGGTAAAGGCAGTTTATCATTACTTGGTTATTTAAAGTATCGGTCTAATTCTATTTTCTGTTGTGTGCAGGTTGGCCTGCTGCTGTTTAGTTTGTTTTGGTTTCAGTGTTGCATTAGTTTAGAATTTATGCTTTGAATGTTTATTGATTAAGTTCTTTATTTTTTTTGGGGGGGGGGAGTTTTATTGTCAGCCCTCTAGGCTCGCTTGTAAGCCAAATAACCTGTACTGTCCCTGGTTCCAAGCTGTTTTATCTAGATTGAGGAGACTAGTAGAAGGGGAGTTTCTTTCTTTCCTTTGTTTTACTCACTAGGGTCTTTCTTGGTGTGAGTGTGTTTTTGTTTGGGAACACGTAGGTGTATTCAGTTATATTTGGGTTTTTTATTATATTCTCCCCCAAGCAGTCTGATTTTATTTAATTGGAGTAACTGGTTGTCAGCTGTAAGGTTTCCAGGGCCAGCATAGATTTAAGATTTTAAAGTGGTCGATATTGTACAATAAAATGAACTGACTATTTATGCCTAAGGGTTATTGTGAGCTAAATAAACTGTGGTTAATTTGCATCAGTGCCTCTGATTATTTTCTTACAATCTTATGTGTGATCGGGTAAAAAGAAAACAGAATTTAAGGTTCTGCGCACATAATTAAAGTCGTAACCCGGGTCACAATCTGAAAACTTTATTTTCTCCAATGATTCTTTTCTCCAACACATTTTTTTTTACATATTTCTCCACATTTAGAGCCTTATTGTTTTGTTCTTTATTTTTACAAACTACCAATAGGTTTCTATCTCTCAAAATCTTCACCATTTCAACATCTCCAATTTTCTTTTTTATTTCTCTTGACACCACAATGGGGCTGATATTATCTTGTCCTTCCTCTTTCTTAAGTTTTAATATTATTTTAAATTCCTCCCACACAACTTTCCTCCTAACTATCCTTTCTTCCTCTGAGCTACTTCCTTCCAGTTCTCGTTTACGTCCTTGAATATCACCAATTCCCTTCCTTCATCTATTTTATTTCTTCCATGTCCTCTCCCTCTTCTCTCCCCACTGGCGTCCACCCATCAAAGTCCATGTCTTCCTCATCTCCTTTCTCCATTACCAACCGAACCATTCACATACCAGTTTATGCTCAATCCGCCTTTTCCAATTACGATGTTATTTGTTTTTCTCCCCCATCGACTCCCTCCACTTTCGAAAAGACCTTTGAATCGTCTTCCCGCCACCTCACTGCCACCTCACTCCGTCACTTCCTCACATGCTTTCTTCTAAACTTGACTTGTCAGCCCCGATTGAGGCCCTTGATATTTCAACACCAGCCATGAACAGCAGGGGGCGCCATCACACAGGAGCAACAGATTCACCAAAGTCATTAAACCCACAGCATCATGACTTTCCTTTACTGACGAACAACAAACTGATCTGTCACCAAAAGGGTTTTTGCGCAGGTTAGGAAACTTTACTGAATTTTACATCAATGTGTGAATTATAGAAATGTTATAATAAGATATAATTTACCAACATAATTTTATTCCTTAATGTTCCGGATCAGATCAGGTTGATTAGAGACAGATTTATTTTCTTCTATCAAAAAATACATTAAATTTATTAAATTAAACCTGAAGGTAAAAATCAACACAGTAACTAATAGTTATTTATAAAACCTGATGTATTAATTAAATATTACAGAGGAGAAACAGAGAACTCACATGGCTCGGAGCTGAAGCTTCTGACACAGAAAGAGAAACTGCTTTTGGTTCTCATAGCTGAAAGCCACGCCTCATAACCGTGGTTGGTAACCGCTCATGCAGGTTCAGCAGGTTTACTGCTCAATGCGGTGAAGTTCATGCATGAAACCAGCTCATCCTGTCTGTCTTACTGCATGTATTTGTTAAACATTTCCTACCTACAAAAGCTGTAGGTTGTAGTTGTTTAAGAACAACTCAAACTCAACAGTTGAGTTTGACTTGATGAACCTTTAAAGTGGCCAAAGTGACACACATCATTTATTAAAGGCACCAATTGAACCAAAAACTTTTAAAATATGAAACTAAAGCAAATATTTTCTCCAAAAAGAAAATAATATGTTATTAGATCAATCATAAACAAGTGTTTAAGCACAAATGTGATGTTTCCTAAAGGTTTGTACATTTCTCTGCACTCAGTTCTTGGCTGAGCCTCTTCTGGTATAAATTACTGCATCAATGCATCGTGACACGGAGGAGATCAGCCTGTGTGTTATGGAAACACTTTACTACATGTTGGAACTTCTTCAGCAATGACCTTTTGTTACTTTCCTCCTCATGACAAAAACACATAACTAAGATGTGGATTATAACCTAAAGAATAATATAAATATTTGCTTCAGTGCTTTTTTCTTGGTTTTGCATCAGTTTGTACAAGCCAGGTGAGTCCTCTTTTCTTTTTCTAAACTCTATTCAAATTATAGATCTGCTGATGATTTTTATTAACAGTTGTTCTGAGTTTTTATCTTGTGTTGTTTATCCAGCCTCTGCAGCATCAGGTCTTTACATATTTTACAGTTCGTAGCTTCTTATGATAAAGATAAAATAAAGCTGCTGTAAACATCCTCCTGTTATGCATAACCTGGACCTGAAGTCAGAAACAAACAGACCTTTCTCCCACAACATGTCAACGTGTTTCTTTAAACAGGTTTTACTTTTTATTACTGGAATATTTTACTTAAGTCACTGTACAGCACTTTAAAAGCACTTTATTTAGCACTTT